CGCGTCGAAAGCAAGTTTTGCCGGTCTCGCGACGTAGTCAAAACTTCCTTAACACTATCTTTTTTTTTTTTTTTTTTTTTTTTTTGCCCTTTAGATTTGCAGTTTTTTCAATAGCCATTTTGAATTTCTAGATAAAAAATAGCCTGCCGGGAACAGTAAGTTCATATTATTCAGAAAATGTAGTTAGTTTGGGTAGTCAAAAAACCACCGGAGTACCCTTTAACTGGTGTGGGTGCAGCTCCCCCCCCCCCCCTTCCTGCACCCCCCTTGAAATTCCAAGGGGGGGCAACTGCCCCCCCTTGCACCCCTCTGCGGACGCCCATGGTCGCAGTGAAGCATGTGTAAAGCAACACGTACGTAATTTTCATAATTAGTGCAATACCTTTTAGGTACTGCATTCAGACACGGGATCGCAACGAGCTTTCCCCCTGCGGGTTCTTCGAAGTCATATCTTTATTTTCACCAGCGTCGAGGGTGCCTTTCATAAAGTCACCCTGAATGTCGGGGAAATTAAAGACAATTAAAAAACACGCCCAAGCTTCTATCTTGAGGCTTGCATAAACACATTAGCGGATCTAAGGACCTGGGTATAAGGTGTCCGGAACATCCCTCGAATTACCTATGCCACCATAGCGCACCAAAACCCGATGAAAAACCTAATCGTGCCTCACAACCTCACAATCCGATTTAATTCGAACAATGTAAAACTTAAAAAAAAAGTGTCCTTTCTTTTTTTATTTATTATGGTCTCCAAAAATTTCCTCGACATTTTACGCTGCAATATAGAATGCGTTCTTTGTTAAAGTTGAGCCTTTTATACCATACATTCAATCCTGGTGAGGTTTAGCTACGACCGATCTGTGCGAATCTCCGATTTTATAACAGTTAACACACAGGGTGGTTGTGTACAAGCGTCACATGTCTGCTTAATCCACCTCTCTCGGTACCTCGTCGCAGAAATTGTTATCCTCGAAACTACTGACTGACCGGTCGAAAATCTGTTTATTAGCTCCCCTATTCGATCTAGTGCCGCTGAGGCATTGGGTTTCGCCCAAACTATGAATAAAATTTTGTTAAAAAAAATCAAAAGAAGACCAGCTTTGCAGTTGTGAAAGTAACGATTTTGATTGCAAATTTCTCTTTGACAACATGGTAATAATTTATCACAAAGCGAAATATTGGTGTAAAAAATTAATACCTGTTTTGCCGCCAGATTCAGAAATGTTTACTCTAAAATGAAACTTTTTTTTTTTCTATTTTTTTAAAAAGAATAGGTGGTTTACGTTTTAAGGTGAATATCTTTATTTTATGCATATTCCGTAGTGGACTTCGGGGTGATCTAACAATTAGAGTAAAGTTCCGTTAGAACATGCTCGCTTTTAATCTCAGCTTCCCCGTAACATGGCAAGAAGCGAATGCTACGGCCCCTTTGGGTCAATAGGGAGTTTTCGTGGATCTCGATCTACGAAAACTCCCTAATCATAAGCGACGGAGTGAAGTACGTGACAGCCCTTCCCGGAAGGAGCTGATGATAGACGTTAGGGAGTTTTCGTAGATCGTTTTCGCCGTCCCGCAACGCTCTCTGCAACCCGCTGCGATACCCAAACCCCTACAGTCAAGGCCATCGGCGCGCAGGCGCAATAGAGGGTTCTTCGTTGCGGAGGGAGAAACGCGGTCTACGAAAACTCCCTGTTGCCACACCGGCGATACACACTGTCACGTGCCTCGCACCGACATGCTGATTGGCTCACCGGGGCTGTAGCTTTCTCCATTTGCCAGGATGGGGTAAAACGGCGTTTAGTAAAGGTCAACGGGGCAGACGAGAGTAGTATCTCCGAGTTGACGGAGAGGATAAGAGGAGGGCGGGGGTTGGTTTATCGTCGGTAGATTGCGACGTCACCGAGCCTTCCAGGTACACTGCGGCCTTGGCAATACCATCTTACATTTTTATATCACGTATTTTGTTTGTTTGTTTTTATTCTACTGGGCTGCTTATTGTTCGTGTTGCGTCATAACAAAAATAATCTCGTTTCTAAAGTTGTCCTTGTTGATACCTTTCGCAGTCACCTAGCGCAGCTGCTGGCTGCAGACTCTAGTCGGTCATTCTTCTGAATTTAATTCCCTTCTTTTCGTTCCATTTATTTATTCCTTTTTATCGCGAGGTTCCAGCCAATTTAGCGTATCCGGTCGTGTGCCAGCGATCACGATCCGGCAGCACTCCGTTCCATCCTAACTTGGCGAACGGCGAACTCTTTGCTGCCCCCGTCAGCCAATCGGGGGGACGGAAAGAAGCACGTGACCCCTCTCCCCGGAAGGACTGCGCTCAGGCGGTGCCGTTTGTCCCTAGCGAGCTTAGATATAACAGACAGAGCAACTTAAACCATGAAGAGCGTTTGCATTTTAATGGCGGACGCCTCCAGTGCAGATCGGTAGCTCACGCGCATGCGTGCCTTGTCGCTTTCCGAAGGTCACGTGACACCCATACGGCGTTGGATTGGATTGGCTTCGATGACTCGTAACGTCCGCTTTCGCCTCCTCCTCTCACCTCGCATTGCAAACGCGGTTCGTGGACCACGTGACCCCGAGCGACCAGTTGAAAAACAGTCTCAAACACTCGCGTGATTCGTGGACCACGCGACAAAGGCACTAACTAGCCTTTGTCGCGTGCATCTCTCCAGCGCCCCGATTGGCTCGCTGGTAGCCTTAGCATTCGCCGTTTGCCAAGTTGGGCTGAAACGGAGTTGTCTGCATCGGTGTGCTTAGACTTGAGAGTGTCTCCGACCGTTCGAACAGAGTCACGTGGTCTATGGACCACGTTTGCTGCACGAAGAAGGAGGAGAAAGCGACGGTAATCTGCTAGCGTCTCCAAGCTTTGCTCTGCCTCTCCACCCGCATGAGCACGAGCAATCAATCCGCGCAAGTGTCTGCCATAAAATTTCAAGCTCTCTCCGTGTTTTGAGTTGCTCTCTCTCTCTTCAATCTGGGCGCTCCAGTCTGCATCAAGGCCGTGCGTGACAGGATATGGAGACAAAACCGTAGAGTCACGAATGGCACTCCAGCTGCACAAAAGAAAAGTTGGCGTACGGCCTCACTTGAAACGAGATCGTTCCAACGGACCATTTCACTTTTTGATGTGTCCTGGATTTCACCGCTTCTGCGAGTCGTCGGGCACGTCAGTGTTCGGCCACGGCACAAAGATATATCAGGTGAGAGAAGTGTACAGCAAATAAAATGCAGTTTAAATAATAATTTGAGCGAACGAGCGAACAATCATTCTGAACATGTCTTTGATATTGAAATAGTGACTGAAGCGTCCGTATTTGGATGCCAAAATGTAGCACATGTCCTGTTTCTTCTCTCCTTTAGTATATTAAAATAGTATATTAAACTTTTAGAATTTGAGGATCAGTTTTTAACCTGCCATTAAGCTATACTGTGAGACTATCATAATATATACTAGAACGCTTCTGATTTCTTCTTATGATTAATAGTCACATGTCCATGTTGACGTAGCCAATCACCGGGGGGGGGGGAGGCAGGGGGATTTAATTTACTTTAAATGAATCGCGGAACCCCGCAATCTAACGTGAATGTGAAGGTAGATGGTGGATTTGTTTTCTAAAGACATGGAAAGAAAAGTTGTAATAATAATAATAATAGTAATAAAGTGTATCAATGGCTCAATAGGTTTTCTTCTCTCCCGTAGAACGTCTTACTTAACAAAAAAGAAAAGAAAAATCGTTCTGATGGCTCATTTCTTCTTTTGTACAATTAAAGGGATACTACAACGAAATTTTGGTTCTTATTTTTTCGTCTATATGTGTTCAAAGAAGCATTATCACATTGAACACACCAATATCTTGTTAAAAAAGTGACGACACGGAATTTTAAAACGAATTAAACGATTAGCAAAGAGGACCAGGTGGATGTCGCGAACGCCTCGTTTGTAATGCCCGTCTAGGAACTTTGAGAGGTAGTGATGATAACTGTCTCGCTTTCGGCCACGAGGAGAGAAAAGAGGAAGGGGGAGCTCCCCTCTTCCTGAGAATCCCTTTTGTGTGACCCAGAAGCCGCTATTGTCCCTCTACAAGATTATAGAAAATTAACCCGTCACTCAAAATTTGTACAAAAGCAGCCGCTTCGGTGGCTGCACCGACTAGGCCATCCTCTTGACGTCAACCTCGCCGTAGCTTTGCTCGTCCCGAGACGAACTACGTCATGATTGCGTTGGATAAACGGCCCAGAGTGGGCCGTTTATCAAAAAATACAGCCACCAGGCTCAAAATACAAACGTCCGATTGTCATTTACGGATATTGTGGATCATATTCAACCTATTTTCGAACACGACGCGTATATTTCAAATTTCGTTAAAGTATCCCTTTAAATGCCATAAGGCTCATAAGAGCATTTATTCACCATTGGAAAACCTCAGTTTTTCTGTTTCTGACTCTTGACTGAGGCAAGTGTTTCCTTTAATATGCAAAACAAATTAACTATGAAATTGCAGATTATTGTGTGGTAGCATATGCAAAGGTAATTTTTGTGATTTATTTGAAAGTTAAGTAGGGTTATTTGCACTGCGGGGAGTGTCCACCTGAATGTGAAATGTCGTGGTTGGTTGAAAATAGTCAAGTTTACGCGCGATTTTCTTGACTTTCAAATGAGAAAATGCCGCGTGAAAATTCAGTCTGGAAGTCCAGTTTAATCCTGTTTTAACTTTTACGCTCGAAGACACCTGATTATCGGATCCCATTCACCGGCGTTACATTCGGCCGGAGTTTCAGCTTTTCGCGAGGTGTGGTTTATTTATGTGGTGCTAAAAGCAAACTGAGCCGCGACATTGCGCTTCTCTTGTAAACCGGAATTTTGAAAATAGCGCTACGACGTCGCCACGTTGGACTATTTGGTTAGAGGGCGCAGGCTACCACCCAATTCACAAGGAACAGCCGTCAAGCCCACCATCCACTCAAAGCTGCAGCGGCTGTCGGTGCGCGCGTTTATTGCGTTTCCTTGTTTTTGTTTCGTCTTGTATGGCGGAGGTCATGAGAGCTTGGGAAAAGCGGAACAGTACTTTCCGTAATGCCAATGACCTTACGCCAGCCTCGTAAAGTGCGCGAGTCGTTTCTAAAACGTGTCGCCGATCTCGCTCGCCGATGCCACAAGTTGTGAGTACGGGCAAGACACGGGTCGTATGGCTAGCCCCTTGCGCTATGTTTCTGTTTATTTCGGATGTGATCTCTTGCACAACCCGGCGTTCACTTATTCAAATACACGCACGGGATGAGGGACATAACAGTGCAGACGTATGCTCTGGAGGAAGCTGGAAAATAGGTGCAGCGAATCGATTGCTTGCGGTGATCTCTGCTCGAGCTCTATTTCCCGTCTCTGTCGGAGGATTTTTACGCATTGGCGTTCTTGGGGTCCCACTGTTCTCCGCAAGTTCTTGTTATTCTCCGAGCGGTATGCGTCGATGTCACGGTTGTGATCGATTGAGATCTGTGTGTTCGCGAACCGGTAAAATATATCCGTTCCGGCCCCAGTCTTTTGTAAGCCCTTTCCCCCAAACCTCTTTCAGCTGCGCGATTATCTCGCCTTCTTCGAAAGGAATGCCGAAAATTGGTCTAGCGCAGGTGTTCGCAGTGTACGAGGAACGTTCGGCGAACGTCATACACGCTGAACGCAAGTGAGGAAAGCAAGTGTACTAGTTTCGTTCTCAAGCGCGTAAGTCTGTTTTTTCTTTCTTAATTTGGGCTGTCCCTCTTGTGATCGGTTTTCCGTCCAGCGTATGTTGTAACAAGTGCACAATACAAAAGTAAATGCAGTGACAAACAGTGAAAGTTTCTACCAAACTGACGATGTTACTGTGTTCAACAACGACACTTCCATTGCGTAGGGTGCAGTTTACTCGTTGCCTATATTCAAAATCCTTTGGTGCCAGAACACTAGCTTCTATGTAACTTAACTGACATATAGAAGTGCAAGGTTGAGGATGAAACATTAGCGAAAATAACTTGGCATGAGCATGCACTCTGAACTGGTGTATCAGAAAGCTTCACATAAACTTAAATTTGGACGCTTTCTGTGGTTCGTCATATTCTTTTAGGACAACCCTTTGTTCAAGAACTGGGGGTCGAATCATAAAACTTTCGATTGAACGTGATTTGAAATTATTGATGGAGTTGCAGCTCTTTCGAAGATGTCAAGTAGCTCCAAAAAAACGAGTCAGTCTCTCAAAATATATCAATCTAAACCCTGAGACGAGGTTTAGGTTATGATGTCTCATATCCGGCTTATCTGCACACTTGCTCTTCTTGCAGCTCTCTAAGGTGCATAATATTATTCCTCAAAATTGAATTTCATGGTGCTTTAAGCTCGAAATTATTTTCTTACGGTATTTTCCCCACTTTACCTTCAACCCTTGGCACTTATAGCAGCATTTAGAGATAGCCACACTCCTTTCTGTCAACCGTAATTGAGTAGTCACAAGAACCAACTATTCTAACAATGACATCTTGAGACTGATAGAGTTGTTTATGAAGCAAATAAGCTCCACATTCTCCAACTGGGCATAGGGAGGGTGAAAAGGTTGGAGGAATATGACTGTCCACATCATAACATAATTGATGGTAATAGGATGCCGCAAAGCGTACCACCATAAGAACCTCCGAAACTAATTGTCAGAGTAAATTTTTGGAAGGAGATTTTGTGAACTGCCTTGCTTGACAACAGATTCTCAATGTCAAGATAATTGAGCAGCTGCTCATCATCCGGCACTAGCCCATGGCCTATGCACTTCTAGCTTATGCTCAAAGCCGAAGTGCTACTAGGACATAGGCAAAGCTTGATGCTTGCGCAGAAAGACGTACAAAATGGCGAGTCTACAAATTAAGCTCGATCGGAAGGAACCAAAGACCTTTTTTTTATGGAAAAACCAGCTCCATTGGGACAAGGAAGTACCTAGAGAGACGAGTGTTTGCCCGTTTATTCCACTGGGTGCGGGACGGCAGACATCTTAGTTACCTATTTTTGTCTAATTTCAAGCAGAATAGCAACAGATGAGACGTGGTAGAGGCAGGAGAGGTGTGCAGCCGCCGTTATAGGTGCACCCACCCTACGTTTTGTCAACATGAAGCTGATCGTGCAGCCAGAAAATCCCTCTTTCCGCTGAAGTTAATCTGACTGCTTGTCCCTAGCTCTGGAGTTCTCAAATGTGTCCATATCGAGGAGCCCCTGTTGCCCTCGATACTCAGCAGACTGACTCTCCTGGCCTTGGCGTCGATTTTAACGCAGCCGTGCAAAAGCCTGCAGGCCCTGTAAACAGTATGCATACTAGCGAGCACTTGGCTCGTATACGTGGATCATTAGATAGCTCAGATGTACTTATAGTTTTTACACGTGAAAAACAGTTCACTTGGTTGCAGGAATGATCGAGGAAATTTTGGGAACTTGGCGATCCCAATGAGGGTGCTCTAGGGAACCCTTTAGGTTTCTAGAACCTAATTTGAGGACCTGTGCCTTAGACGGAAGTGCGTGCACATGCGTAACACGTTTCGGAAAAGTTCCGTCGAAAGCCGTCCCCTTGCCGCTTGCAGAGCTCAGTTCCATAACTCCACCTTGTTTGTTCCTTTGATTTGAAGGACATGAGAATCAGCTGAGGACAAGATGGGAGTGAGCGAGGAGGACGATGTGCCGAGCAGGAAGGGCAACCCGCCCCCTCGGCAGCACGCCATCGTCTACCAGGCAACGGACGCCCCGGCGTGCCCACAGTGCCGTGTCCTCGACATGCCGTTCTTCGACACGGACTGCCAGGGCTGTCTGGACATCCTCCAGAGCGAGGACACCAGCGTGCCTGAGATCTTTGCCATCCTGCGACAGTGGGTTCCTCGAACCCAGAAGGACATCAAGATGTTGGTTGGTGAGGTGGGTAAATTTCTGGCATATAAACTGTCTTGTGTATACTTCGTCTCCGATATGATCGGTGCCGGCGTTTGGATCCTTGGTTGTTGGGTTCGAAACCCCCAGCCGAGATGCTCGCAATCTGACAAAAACTTTGCATGCAACTGAGGTTGAGGTTGTGTGTGAAGGATTTCTAGATTGTCGCACTTAGCTTGTTTCCTCTCATGAACTGTCCAAGGTGCTCTTTGTTGGTCTGGAACGCAAGCCCTTAAGAGTTCGGTTTTCTCATCTTTTTCTTCTCCTCTGTCACGAGCACTTTTTTGTGTCAATGGCTGGACTAGTAGACCCCTAGGTGATCCAAATTAGTTCTTGGTCCTTCACTGGATCTTCCCAGATGCACTGAAATCATTTATGATGCCTAGCTCTGCATGCCTTCATTTTAAGTTGCCTCTTTGACCCTACTCGCATACCACTTGGCTATTGAGATGTTCAGAGTCTTATTTAACAAGATTGCTCGAGAGTTCGCACTTGCGAAAGTTAAAATGTGCAACGTATCTCATGTCGGCATATTGGTAGCTGCAGCACATCATGATTAATTTTTTTATGCCGTCAATTTGGAGGAGCCAATATATCAGTTCCTGGATCATTGCAATTTTCCGCAAAAGTGCGATCCTGTGGTGGATGTATGTTTTGTGAGGTTCAGCATGTGCAATTTCATAGGCAGAAAAGTCATAAATTAAATGGACTGTTGGGCTATGGCTGCACAACTTGCTAATACTGAAGCCACTGAAAGTTTTCAGCGTCCCAAAACTGCACTGTATGCTATGCACTCTTCGGGACCACTCCTGACGTTTGGGTGGGATGGGATGCTGAACACACTAGTTGAAGGCTCCTCCCAGGCACTGGTACAAAAGTGTTAGGTGCTAGTCCTGTAAATGCCACACAAATAAAATAGTAATGAGGTAGAGCATTCAGCTAGTTGGTAGTTGTACATGACTAGGGAAATGAACAGTGCTATAAGACAAGGACAAGAAACATACAGGACAGGTGCTGATTCACAACTATATAATTTACTAGAAGAAAACAAAGGCAAAAAAGTGAGACATTTACATTTCTCTGCAATGCCAAATTAGAGCGCAGCTCTTGAGAAGAAGGGGGGGGAGGGTATGGAGGGGAGGGTATGCACCTCCTCCCCTTCTCCTCTGCTCCCCTCCCATTTAGCAGGAAATGTTTGCTAAATTTAGCAAGGAAATTTTCCCACTAAATTTAGCGAAAAAAATTTCCTGCCAAATTTAGCGGGGAATTTTTTCTGCTAGATTTGTCAGAAAAGTTTGCCCGCTAAATATGGCAGGAAATTTTTTTTGTTGAACTGAGTGGGAAGATTTTTCTGTTAACTTTGGTGAGAAAAGTTTTCCACCAAATCTAGTGGAAAAAATTCCCCACTAAGTTTGGCAGGGAAGTTTTTCCGATAAATTTAGCGGGGATTTTTTGTCATTAAATTTAGCGGGGAAATTTCTTTGCTAAATTTGTCGGGGATATTTTTCCGCTAAATTTAGCGGGCAAGCTTATAGCTATGTTTACCATAGAATACCGCGTGTCCGCCCATTCCACACTAAGTGCCCATTCCCAAATTTTTAAGATCTGAGAAAATACGCACAGTACATTTATATATAAAATTGATGACTGGAGAAGCACCCATCCCCCATTTTTTTGCGATTATCTCCAAAGTTTGAGTGGGTGCTTGCCCGGTATCTCATGGTAGTTGTAGCTTATAGCTATGTATCTTCCTTATAATATGTAAAATTAAAACAGCATCTCTCCTTTTCAATCTTGTGCAGATCCTGAGGAGGGGCGCCAACGTGAACGACCGGGACGGCCTGACGGACATGACGCTGCTTCACTATGCGTGCAAGGCAGGCGCAGCAGGCGTCGGGGACCTGGCCTGTGCAACTCAGACAGTGGGGCTCCTGCTGGACCAGGGGGCAGACCCCAGCCTGCGCTGTCGCTGGACGGACATGGCCGCCATCCACTATGCCGCCTACTTCGATGTGCCCTCGGTCATCGAACTGCTGCTCGGGGCAAGCCGCAAGTCCGGTACGTCGAGGGGGTTCCCAAGCGGTGTCCTCGGGTCTGCTCGCCTCTACGCTCCGTTTCGCACTAAGTCCGACCGTAGCCGACGGTACGACCCGACGGAGCTGACCGAGCGGCGCCAAAAGCGCATAGTCATGGTGCTCCTTGTTTTTGCGCGTTTGTTGTCGCCAACAAAACCGGTTGCGCAACGATCCTGTGTTTTCTTCCTGTGCTGGACTGGTCTGGCCGGTAACGGCAAACCCACAAAGACGACGAGCTCTGCGACGACGCACTTTTGACACCACTTGGTCACCTCCTTCGGACTGTAGTGTTGGCTGCGGTCGGACTTAAAGTGAAACAGAGTGTGGGACTCCCCGACGCCATGTGTGGCAGACAATGCCGTATTGTTTGGGCTATAGTTTATACCCTGTGTATAGTTCGTAAGAGCAAAGTTCAGTTCAAAAAAACTTTTTTTCTTGGATAGTCTTGCACCCGGTGTATAGTCCGCACCCGGTGCATATAGCCTGCACCTGGTGCCCAGTCTGCGAGTAAAAATTTTCATGCGTGATAAACGTGGACAAATGCTTGTTTTGTTAGCTCACAATGCTTCTTTTGTCGTACTTAAATCATTATTGACATATTCCATCTTTCACATGATCTGTCACATCTAATCATAATGAATGACCTAGAAAAATAAAATTCTTGTGCAGTCAGTCCGCACTGCAAAAATTTGAGTATTTTAAAAATGTATAGTCTATGGCATGGGTGGCTGGGCTGACCCGGCCTAATGGCGTTCACACTGGAAGCGGATCCGCAAACGCGAAGCGGATCCGTGCGTTCTCAACCGCAAAGCGGCTAGGATCGAGCAGTTGGAGCGCGTTTTTGCCGACCGCTTCGGGACCAATTTCTCCCAACCGCTTTCACGAGCCGCAAAGCTGCAACCATTCGCAACGCGACGCTGACGTGACATCAGTGACTTTCGAAACAAGATGGCACCTGTCACTGGTGAGGCGTCCAAGGCGCTGTAGTCTTAGCGTTACAGCAGAAAATCAACGAAGAAACTAATGTTCACGTCCGTCACTTGAATCCGCCGTGAAAAGAATTGATTCGTAATCTTAACGAGCTTCGTGCCGGTGATTTGGTTTGGGTAAGAGTTTGTTTATTATTTCGAGTGCCACAGCCCGAAGCTCGCTGCCTTGTTAGTCTCTGCCCGTAGAACGTTGGAGCCCGCCCCTGATCGACCGAAATGTCAGCTTTTGTATTCGCTAAGATAGTCACGTGAACTACTGAAAGCTTTCCACACCGTGCATGACCACCATGAAGGCCGATAGAGACATCGTGAGCTTGATTGCGTAGCCAACGTACTACTGCGGAGCGGGCAGAGCACCTGCGCTAGCTTGTCCTGTAACGTTTACTACTAACAAAAGAAATAAAGGGAGTGTACTCTAGAAATAAAGTGTACGTACCAGACGATGCAGAGGTAATCCATACGGCGTTTATTTGAGCTTAATGTCAAACAAACAGTAGACTCGATCGACAAGCGAGTGACGAGAGGAGAGTCCGCCACCAACGAAGCCACGACCGGCTAGCACCAAACACATTCCCATGCACCACGGTCCACCCCACCGCTCACAACGTTGAAAATGATAAGAGTGAACGAGGGGGGGGGGGGGGGGGAACTGGCCCTCTATCCTGAAAGCAAGGTCAGTTATTCATGCGGGAAGGGTCCACTTCGAAGAAAAGGTCGGGGGCATCCCGTTCGGAGTCAGAAAGGCGCGCCAAGCTGACCTTTGCTTGTGGACGAAGTTGAGGGAATCACAGGCGAGTTCAGCGGGTTGACGTCTCTTTTTTCGTTGCCTCAACTCGTGATGCGTGCGAACATTCCGAAGAAAATCTTCAGAGTGCCAAAGTAGCAAAATTTTGGCTTTGGATCGTGGATTAAAGTGGATTTGGGATTTTAAAACAGGGTTGCCGAACGCCATTCTCAGAAACATCACTCGTAATCGCCAAGAAACCGCCAGCTGCCAACTGCCTCTCGGTGTGTCGGAACAGGGTCGCTCGCGAACCGCATCCCGAACCGCTTTGTGAATGCGGATCCGCTTCTAGTGTGAATGCGCCATAAGAGCCTCCAACAAAACCACGAAACTTCCAAGAGCCGTGGGGGGGGCAAATGCTTGTCTAGAGCAGGGGTGGCGAATCTGCGGCTCGCGAGCCGCATGCGGCTCTTCGCGTGCTAAAGTGCGGCTCGCGGCTCCCTCTTCTACACCTACCCCCCTCCCCCCCTCCCTCCCTCGCCTCCCTCCCGATCACACGAGCACTTCTCCAAAAAAAAAGAAATGGAACGCGTTTTAAATCAAAAGACAGGTTGTGGTTAGGTAGCCTTATGCTACTTCTGGCTTACATACAGTTGGGCTGCTTTTGACTTAGATTGAAAGTAGTTTGAGTTTTGTTTGCGGCTCTTAGGCTGGGTCAGCTTGGCCACCCCTGGTCTAGAGCAATAAACAAAACTCTGACTACTTTCAATCTTTCCCAGTCAAATGCAGTCCAACTGTATGTGGTAGCAGCAGCACAAGACTACCAAACCGCAACCTGTCTTTCTATTTAAAACGCATTTCATTTCTCTTTTTGGGGAAGTGCTGGTGTGACCGGGAGGGAGGCGGGGGAGGGGAGGAGGGCGTGGTTGGGGAGGGAGCCGCGAGCCGCACTTTAACCCGCGAAGAGACATATCTGGCTTGCAAGCCGCAGCTTGGCCACCCCTGGTTTTAGGGACTGTAATATAATAAATATTTTGCGATTATTTGCAGAGGATCGGAGAAAAAAGTTCTATGAGGCCTGCCATTGCCTCTACCCCCCTTCAGTGCAACAGTGCAAAATAAAGATGTAACAAAGATAATCTATACCAAAAATGAAACAATCCAAAACCATAAATCTCTTTCAGTGGTGACATCTCAAAACCAAAAGATCAAACAATCCAAAAACAATAAATCTCCTTCAATAGTAACACCTCAAAACAGGTGCACACCCAATGCAAACAATGTTCCAGGCTGACCCAAACATCGAAGCACAAAGTAACATAAAAGATATATCATTTTGCTTTTTTTTTTACGTACATACGAAAGTAAGAATAACAAGCGCTAAAATAAGCGAGCTAATCCAAAACAAATTGAACCATCTTGCAATTACAAAAAAAAATTAAACTGTCTGGTTTTGAAAGTTTGGGTAGACCAAGCCCTAAATAGTAGATGAGAACGCAACACCACTGCACAACTAAGGATTGCCTGCAGTCTTTCTTGAGCCTCACAAAACGGGATGCTGTAATCGACATTGACACCTGGGCAATTTTATGTTTTAGTAATTTGGTACATTAGTCTTAGGTGATTTGCACATTTGATTTGCTAATTGGGTACTTTAAACTTTAAGATGTCTTCCAACAGCCCGAGTGTTGGCATACAAGTACAGGCTGATTTTCATACATTTGCGTGCAAAGAAGTATTCTTGCGATTTTTCGAGCTATCAAAACTAACAATATTTTCGGAATCACCAGCTTTTACCCTTTCCTGTCTGCCATTTACTATAGAAAAATTTGAAATAGTTATCATGAAATCGGCACATGAAAGTGATGCCAAAATGAGCATTTGAATATACCTGCGCATTTCTGTGCCATGATGTCAAGTTAAGGCAGGCTTGCAGGTCGAGCGGGCAGTCTGAAAATTACCTATGCCGAGCATTTGTTTCGTACTGCTGCGCAGGATGCTCAAGCGAGCTTTCAAAGCATTCATTTGACACCATGAAACTGCTTGTAACCACTTGGGAAAGTCTGCAGTCCAAAGAGTGACCTCCCGTTTTCCCCCAACATCGCTTTTTTTTATTGTTACCAATAAAGACTTTCACTTGAAAAAAAAAAAAAAAGAACACTTGGTGAAAATCAAAATTGTAAATTCAATAACCTTGAGGAAAAAAAATTATTTTGTTTGAACATTTGGGTTACTATTTTGGCGATGCTTCTTGGTGTGTTTAGCAAATTTTTTGGGAAAATGGGGACTATGAAGAAAACGCCGGAGTACCCCTTTAAGGGTGGTCCAGTGCATTGCATTCTCTCGTAACTGTTCACAACAGAAGAGCACACTGTTGCCATCTGCCAGGTATCCCTTGAACACTTTCGACCTGCATATATATTGTTGTATTTTTCTGCACATGATTTCTTCGCCGTGGGGTTAAACCAGTTCTTACAGTGCTATAGGCAATAATTGTTTTTAGATGGCAGATTTAATCTTGATACTGCAAAACTTTCAGTCTAGTTATACACAGATCAGGAGGGTAAATCGTGTCAGCATGCTCTCTTTTTCTCGCTATATGTTGTAACAAAGATGTGCAATGCACTTTAGGGTACTAAATGTAAATGTGTGAACCGGCATGTCGTGTTTGCCCATGCCCAGGGTGCAGGGTTTGTCCTTAGCTTCGTGTTCCTAACGGGGACGAGAGCGTTCCCGTCGACTTGCCTCGAGCTTTCCGTGCAGTTTTTCGGATTCGGGCCTTGTGTCGTGATCTTGCGAATCTTGCCTCGAATTTTACAAAAAATGAACTGGACTCGTTGATCTATGCGAAAAAGTTTCAGACGACATGTTTTTCCCATTTCAACATTTGTGATTATATACAGTGGAATCTCGTTAATTTAAACTCTCTTAATTCAAACTAACATGCAGGTCCCGTCTTACCTGTTTCTGGGTAGGAAACTCCCGGTAATTCAAACCTTGCATTATTCTAACGTTTTGGTCCACCTGGGGTTAAAATTAACGAGATTCCACTGTAGAATACGCTCGCATTTGGGCTGCATTTAGATGAGTGGAAAGGCCCCGATAGGATTGTTTCGTTCTCATTCATTAATTAAGAGAGACTTGGGCTTGCTGAGGTGGTGTTGGCTGGGCGTCTTGCCTGCCGGTGTGTGAGGGGTGAAGGCTTTACGCTTATCCCGTTGCAGACATTGACAGCCCGTGCCACGAGTTTGACGGAGGAGCCCCGCTCCACATTGCGGCATCCACCCTTTGCCTCGGTGCCGCGCGCACTCTGGTGGAGTTTGGCGCCGGCCTCACTTGCACCGACGCCCTTGGGAGGGTTCCCCTAGGTGAGAACGAGAGGAACCATAATAAGAGCACTCACTAAAACGTAGTGCTAGAATAGTTTGTAGAGTTTCCGCAATCCTAGTGTCGTGACGCTGCGGAGACGTACGCCAGTGTTTGGTACCCGGGGTCTGGCAGAAGGGTGTGGGGGGTTGGGTCAGGAGGATTTTGGTTGGGCAACAAAAAACATATTCTTGGGGCTCACGTGCCAATCCAGCGAGACGCCGGTAACACACCCCGGCAGTTAGGCTAGAGTTGTAAAGTAATTAATAAAAGCAGTTTCTAGCGGATCTGTTAAGGGCTAGCTTCCCCAGTATTGTGTCCGTCAGCAAACAAATGATGACACAAAAGTTTGGACAGCTACCGCCATCCATGAGCGACGGCGAGAACCAGACAACCGGCTTGCCAGTTGTCTGGTTGAAGCCATCGCTCACAGATGGCGCAACCTTTTCAGCCTTTTCATTCTGGCTTGCCGACATGTGGCCAGCCATTACTTCATTCCCACCATAGTACAGCTTCGCTGGTCTTCCTTCTTCACTAGATTGGAACAACTGAAAGCTTTACAACGGAGCTGTTTAGGTCTACTTTCCCCAGTATCGTGTCCCTCAGCAAACAAATGATGACACGAAACTCTGGACAGCTATCGCCATCTATGAACAATTGCGACAACTGGCTTGCCGGTTGTCTGGTTACCACCGTTGCTCATAGATGGCGGCACCTCTTCGAGCCTTTCCACTCTGGCTTGCCCACTTGCGGCTGGCCATTACTTCATTCCCACCATAGTACAGCTTCTCTGGTCTTCCTTCTTAACCAGAGTGGAAAGGCTGAAAGTTTTTTTTTTGTTATTCATAATTAGTTACAGTTTCAGTAACTATACAGGGTGTCTTTTTTTAGTTGCACCAAATTTTTTAAGTTAAAGGGGAAGAAGTGTATATGAATGTGGTTTTCACTGTGCGTTTCTATGGCTCGGCAGACATTAGATGGGAATGTAACCATTTCTGTTATTAGGCTATTAACCTCCTTATTACGGTCATAACCGCTTATATCGGACACTGCAGAGATCGCAAGACCGTTTAAGCCAAAATTCGATTTATAATATGGTGAAAAACACAATTAAGCGCCACATGATTGGCACAGTAACGAGCTTACCTGTAACTTTCACCGCCGCATGCTTTCTTAATAGACCGACCTCACCAAGCGTTCGGCGCATGCGTGGCGCCGCAGTAACTTAGTTCACAGGGGACAGACGTCAATGCACGACACGGCTCATGCCGTCTCATGATCTGCACGTGCAAAGCCCCAGCGAGGTCGTTGCACGTGCAAAAAGACTGAAGTTCCCTGCATGCATCGTGGCAGCGGTGGCCTAGCCAAACTGGCTGGTGAGACACTTATTTGAGACCACTAGGTTGATTTATTGCACTTATAAGTACTGCACCAATGTTGTCTACTTTTTAGAGTGAATAGCATGCTTTGTCACGGCCTGCTCCCTGGTGTCGAGACAATTCACAAGTGCAGGTCTACTTCCTTGTACTGCACTGCAATAGCGGCGCAGCACAACAGTGGCAGCCACGGATTTGCACGAGGTGGGGCGGGGTGCAGCGTCTTCTATGTCCATAGGACCAGGCTCATTGCCCACAACTGGCCGCTCGCAGGCAACTTATGAGCCGATTTCAATATCCGACAGCTCTGCCGTAGTCCCGTTGTCATCGTCACCAACAAAGTTGTCTATGCTCATTGTCTCGGGCACAGCATCCACAAAACGAAAGAGCCTGTCCCACATTTCGTCAAGTTCGCAACGGTCTTGTTCGGACTCGTCAGGAGGTTCCTTCCTCAGTGCTTCGGCTTGCTTTCTCTTGCAGCATCGGTCCCGATATGGGGATGTTCCGGGCCCTGAAATCTATAAACCACTTGTCGCTTCCTCGACTTCTTGAAAGTCCGGCTCCTGAACAGATTGTGCATCCGAATGCTTGCCTGCTGCTTTCACTTTGATGTCATCCTTGTTCTTCAGCAAAGTACGTACTCAAAGTACCGTATTTACTCGCACAATGAACGCACTCGCGTAATGAACGCACCCCCCAAGTCGGCTCTCAAAATTTCGACTTTTTTTTTCACTCGCGTAATAAACGCACCCCCAACTCGGACGTAAAAATTTTGACCCCCTCCCCCCACGCGCGCGAAATGAACGCACTTTTCTATCCTGGTGCAGCGAGGTCGCGAATGCATGGGCAGAGCGGGCGAACAAAACGCATTGCAAAAGGCGTTAACAAAATTCGCACAGATCCAACGGAAGCAAAAAAAAAAACACAAGCTTTTTTTTTCATTTCTTTTTTTTTTTTTTTTTTGCACGGCGCAGTTTGCACTTTGGTGTTCGCGCGCCGCCGCGCGCAAGGGGGTAAGAAAGAGAAGCGGAGAAGCGCTCTAGGCGAACGAAACAGCTTGCGAAAGGCGGCAAAAAGAAAAAAAAGACTCGCCAAACTAAGAAAAAACAAGAACAAAAAAAAAAAAAATTTTTGTCTTTTTTTTTTTTTTCACAGCGCAGTTTGGTTACGGGAGGTCTCGCGCCGCACGCAAGGAGGTAAAAAAGAGGAGCGGAGAAGCCCTCTAAGCAAACGAAACAGCTTGCGAAAGGCGGCAAAAAGAAAGAGGAAGAAAAAAAAAAAAAAAAAAACCACGGAACTGAGAAAAAACAAAGGAAAAAGAGGAGCTTTTTTTTCTTTTTTTTTCTCTTTTTTTTTTTTTTTTTGCACAGCGCAGTTTGGTTACGGAGGGTCGTGCGTCGCGCGCCGCGCGCAAGGTGATAAGAAAGATAAGCGGAGAGCCATCGTCTAAGCAACGCCTAAGCAAACAAAGCAGCTTGCAAAAGGCGGCAAAAAAAAAAAAAAAAAACCAAGGAACTAAGAGAAAAAGAAAACAAAGAGGAGTTGTTCTTTTTTTTTTTTTTTTGCACAGCTTAGTTTGGTTACGGGGTTGGGCGCCGCGCGCAAAGAGATAAGAAGTTACTTCGATTTTTCAGAATAAAAGGTCCGTTCATTATGCCAGTAAATACGGACGCAAAAATGTTTTCTTCGCATAATGAACGCCCCCCCTAACTTTGCATCGATTTTTCGGAAAAAAAAGTGCGTTCATTCTGCGAGTAAATACGGTACTTCGAGGAATATTGTCGGCGTCGGCCACGCTTGAATTCTTCTCGCTCCTCTCAACACGCTTAGTTATGTCAAGCTTCATTGCAAATGTCAGCGTCATCCTTTTCTTCACATTCGCAGCCATGGCTTAGGCCTACTCACGGTGGACGCAAAAACGCATGTTGCAGTCGGAAAGTGGGGAGCAAAACATGAACAACGGCAATCTCCGAATCTGCAAATCTGCTCCGAATGCGTGCATGCGTCCCAAAGAGGTTGGTGCGTCGTGCGTCCGCCTGGCTCTGAACCAGGAGCGCCGCTATGCTCTCCGTGGTGCTCAAGGCGCCTTGTGCTTGTGCAAGCGTTGCAAGCGCCTGCTGCGCCGCCACTACCCGTTGGTGCACTGCTGGAAAGCCTTCCGCATGGCTCAGGAGCTTGCGCGTTCCGATGCTGGGGAGTTTGCTATATCCATTGGGGTCCGACGATATATGGAGTAAAAAATGCCTGCATTTTTAAGGAAGTTTGGGAAGGGTTCGATATAGGTAGGATTTTGTGTTTTCGGAGTTTATTTCTTGTGAAATTCGCAGGGTTTTTTTTTAGTTTTTTTTTATTTGGGATCCGGGGTTTATCGCGGTTTACTTTTGTTAGATTCCCGGTTTTTGAAATTCGGAATTAATTTTACTGCATAAAATTAAAAAAATTAAAATATAAAATACATAAGGTTCGGGCACCACTATCCATTGTCCCGAAGGAATCTCGATGTCCTAAAAGGCGAACCCCTTTTGTCAGTTGTTCTAGATTTCAAAGAAAACTGAAGTGGAATCTTTTTGGGACCACTGATTTTGTACTCTTATAAAGTTTAGTTGTAGGACTCCGTCTTTTTTGCTGTTTATTTTGTCGCTGTGACCTCGAAGTTCAGAGTTTTTCCGGATAAATCTGAATTGACGGAAAATTTACCGGCGAGTGTTTTTCGGATTTATCCGAAAACGCCTAGATATATGCCATAATTCAGTATGTTTGTGTTCGATACATTTGGGTTTGACTGTACTCTAGTTAGGATGTATGTTTATATTACAAACTTTGAGCGTGCCATATTCCAAGACTGTTCCATTTGAAAGTAAACATTGGCAGAAATCTGCTTTTTGGCACACCTCAACTCCATCGAGCCGGCCATCCAGTTCACCGTTGAAACTGAAAAGAACGACGCCCTGCCGTTTCTTGACGTGCTGGTCAAAAGACAAAAAGATCAATTGGAATTCACGGTGTACAGGAAACCGACACACACTGGCCGCTATCTCCGATTTGACTCAAACCACCCTGCGAGCCACAAAGCGTCGGTCGTCCGGACACTCCTGTCCCGAGCGAAGACTATTTGCTCGTCGGAGGACTACAGAAAAAAGGAAGAAGAAACCATCATCTCCGACCTGCTAAATAACGGCTACACACGCAGTTTTATTCAGCGAATCGCTCGTCGTCAACGTAAATCTGATCGACGCCTAAGACCAATCGGCGAAACACAAGAAATCGCACATCCCCGCTCAACCACGCGCATCTGCGTCCCTTACATAAAGGAAACCAGCGAAGCGCTCGCGCGTGTGCTGGCAAAAGAAGGCATCCAGATGTCCCACAAACCAGTGTCAACGCTTGGACACCTGATGCCCCGGCCAAAAGATCGTCCCCCAAAGGAAAGAGCGCAAGGCGTTATTTACCAGATTCTTTGTGCGGACTGCCCTGCCACATACATCGGCGAAACCAAAAACTTTAAAGAAAGACTTCGCCAGCACAAAACCGACGTGCGAAAATTCGATCATGAGCGCAGCGCGGTTGCGGAACACAGTGACTCGAATGACCACCGCATTGACTTCGACGACACACGTATCCTCGACATTGAGACCAATTCCCGGCAAAGGCTCTTCGTCGAGTCATGGCACATTCAAACCACACCGCAAAACATCAATCGGTCGCTTGGCGCTTTACCGTCGGCTTACGTCAGCGGGCTCAGCCACATTACGATCGCGAAAACATCACGTCCACCGCCGTAAAAGAAGACCACTTGCTCCTCGCGCACACAGTCACCCCTGAAGAAGAAACCAAGCAGGTTTCGAAACGTTGGGCTCCTTTTTATTTTTGGTTGGCGTTCCTTCCTCCTCTTCTAATTGTTCTTACCCAACCAGGCAGATTTCTGCCAAATGTTTACTTTCAAGTCTTTACGCCGGGACTTCGGAGAAGAGGCAGCAATTCTGGCGAAACGGTACGTGAACGTTTCTCGCTCCATCGCCATGTTTGAGACTCACTTAGATTTCACAAGCACTTGCCGGGACCTACACGTCGTACCCCGAAGCCTTTGCCTCAAACGCCTTGTCCACACGCGAGAAGGAAACCAAATCATCGCACAGGCAGAACACCGTTTGGTTAAAGCTCGCATCCACGATTGTCAAGCCACGCTAAAGCGAAAAAGACTAGACCTCTTTTTTATTCGTCGGCAACTAGAACACCGCATCACAAGCCTATTTCCAGCACTTCAGTCTTTCGCCGACAGTGTCGCCTCCACTTCCGCAGACAAGCAACGAGTATCTCAGAGGGAGAAGCTTTTGAGACTGAAGAAGAAAGGCGAAGCAATGCACAGCACTGATTCCACTAGGTTTGTTACGAACCTCTCCTCCAGGCAACTATCCCCGTGCGAGGTCAGTGTGTTGGCGAAGGGTCACGGTTTCAACATGACCACGACAAAACCCCCTTTGCCAAAAATGGTTGCAAATATTGAGGACGGCATCTTGCACCTAGATCCAAGTGCCCGAGACCGAGTCCGGCAGAAGGTGATCGGCATCCTATCGAAACTTCCACGTCGTCAACAGCCTAACCTGCCACGGGAAGAGATAGCAGCTCTCCGGGAGCTTCGAGGAGACACAAACATCGTGATTCTACCCGCGGACAAAGGAAACTCGACTGTGGTCCTTGACCGGGATGCCTACGAGAACAAGATTCAGAACCTTCTTGACAGCTCTGCCTATGAAAAGCTCAGGAAAGACCCGACATCACAAGTTCAGACAAAACTGAACAATATCCTTTCTGAAATTTTTAAGAAGTACCCTGACGCGCGGAGCCTTCATCTGCGGCTTCTGTGCAGGAATGGGTTTGCGCCCGGTTTCTACGGTCTTCCTAAGGTTCATAAGCCTAACGTCCCTCTCCGGCCGATCGTGGATTTCACAACCTCACCACTTCGGGGATTGTCGAACTACCTCCACAGCACTCTCTCTCCTCTCGTTGGAAACACAGCGACCTATGTGCGGAACACCGGGCACTTTGTGGAACAGGTTGCGCAACTAAAGGTAAACGATGACGAAAGCCTGGTGTCGTTCGACGTCGTCTCGCTCTTCACCAGCGTGCCGGTTCCCCTGGCAGTCGCCACAACCAGAGCTGCCCTCGAGGGAGACAAGAAGCTGAGCGAACGGACCAGCCTTACGGTGGACGAACTGTGCCGCCTGCTAGAGTTCTGCCTGGGGAGCACCTACTTCAGCTTTAAAGGAGAATTCTTCAAGCAGACCAGCGGAACCGCAATGGGCGCATCCATCTCCGTCACCACGGCCAACCTGACAATGGAAGCCATTGAACATCGCGCGCTGGAGTCTTTCACTGCACGCCCTAAAGTGTTTTTACGGTATGTCGACGATTGCTTCTGCATTATGAAGAAATCAGAAGTGAACAACTTTTTGGCACACCTCAACTCCATCGAGCCGGCCATCCAGTTCACCGTTGAAACTGAAAAGAACGACGCCCTGCCGTTTCTTGACGTGCTGGTCAAAAGACAAAAAGATCAATTGGAATTCACGGTGTACAGGAAACCGACACACACTGGCCGCTATCTCCGATTTGACTCAAACCACCCTGCGAGCCACAAAGCGTCGGTCGTCCGGACACTCCTGTCCCGAGCGAAGACTATTTGCTCATCGGAGGACTACAGAAAAAAGGAAGAAGAAACCATCATCTCCGACCTGCTAAATAACGGCTACACACGCAGTTTTATTCAGCGAATCGCTCGTCGTCAACGTAAATCTGATCGACGCCTAAGACCAATCGGCGAAACACAAGAAATCGCACATCCCCGCTCAACCACGCGCATCTGCGTCCCTTACATAAAGGAAACCAGCGAAGCGCTCGCGCGTGTGCTGGCAAAAGAAGGCATCCAGATGTCCCACAAACCAGTGTCAACGCTTGGACGCCTGATGCCCCGGCCAAAAGATCGTCCCCCAAAGGAAAGAGCGCAAGGCGTTATTTATAAGATTCCTTGTGCGGACTGCCCTGCCACATACATCGGCGAAACCAAAAACTTTAAAGAAAGACTTCGCCAGCACAAAACCGACGTGCGAAAATTCGATCATGAGCGCAGCGCGGTTGCGGAACACAGTGACTCGAATGACCACCGCATTGACTTCGACGACACACGTATCCTCGACATTGAGACCAATTCCCGGCAAAGGCTCTTCGTCGAGTCATGGCACATTCAAACCACACCGCAAAACATCAATCGGTCGCTTGGCGCTTTACCGTCGGCTTACGTCAGCGGGCTCAGCCACATTACGATCGCGAAAACATCACGTCCACCGCCGTAAAAGAAGACCACTTGCTCCTCGCGCACACAGTCGCCCCTGAAGAAGAAACCAAGCAGGTTTCGAAACGTTGGGCTCCTTTTTATTTTTGGTTGGCGTTCCTTCCTCCTCTTCTAAGACTGTTCCATTTTAAAAAATTTGCGTACCAGTCCATGTTCTGCTATATTCGTCCCCAAATTTTGCACTTTGATCCGGTTAATGTAGCAAAGTTTGGTTATTGTCCCCACTTTCGCGGGTTTGCCGGATTGAGTCGGAAAGAAGTCGGATAAAGTAGAAAATTCGGGGATACATATCTGGGAACACAGGCTGGTTACGTGAATTTTGCAAAATTTCATACAACCACTTCGAAGTTTGTAATCTAAACATATATCCTAATTACAATAATTAGAAAGTTAAGTAACAAATTTTACCTGATCAGTCCGATAATAGTGATGGTTACATTCCCTTCAAACGTCCGCCTAGCCGTGTAAACACTCGGCGAAAACCACATTCGTTCAGCTTTTCCCCCCTTTATTGAAAAGTTTGGTGCAGCTAAAAGAAAACTCTGCATAATCTGCTGTACGAGCCCGAGTTGAAGCGTACCTCTTTCCAGAGTGCGTGCCAGAGCTGAGGCCGGGGGAGGCGTTCCCCAATGAGGAGGGAGTGGCATCCTCCCTGCGCGAGCTGCTCCACTGCTCCCTGCCGAGCTCCCACCCGTCCGAGTCGCACTCCTCCTCGGCCGACTGCCCTTCGTCCCCGGCCACCTCGGGCCGCGTCCTCCTCCACTCCCTTGGGCTCAAAATCGGCGACAAGGTGGTCATCAGTGGATCCAAGGTACCGACCTCCTCCGTTATGTCGCTATGGTCACCGGCAAGGAGAGAATGGAAGGGAGGGGCTCAAGTCGTCTCGCCTCCGGTGCAAGCTTCCTGCCTTCGACGACGCTTCGCCATCTCTTGCACCATGTGCCAGAGGCCGGACGCCCAAAAGTCATGCCTTGCCGTTCTCTTTCTGTTGTTGACCATTCGCGACTCGCCAACAAAATGGACGGCACCCAGTGGGAAAACGCCGAACTGGAAGGAAGAGGTCCTTCTGCGGTCTCTGCTCGTCTCTTGTGGCTTTCGTGATCACACGTTGTTGGCAGTTGGCGCGGCAAAACACTTGTCCCGGTGACTTGTCCCGGTTGCGGTTGCATTGGCGTGTTGCTCAAGTCGCCCCGAACTCAACCTGCTCAATCACGTTAACCAGACATTGTGTGTTTGTCGACACTCATCAGCACCGTAGATGGACGGTAGGCAGTCCTTCCGTCGCTTCCCCGAGGAAGAACGAGCCTTTGGAAGCTCAGCTACGCCAGCATATCGCCGCAGGTGCGATGCATAGTGCATAAACGATTGAGTCAAACCATTTTGAGTTCAATGCTTGCACGCTGAAACCCATGCGTTGAGCTTGCACGGAGTGCGGCACGACCTGTTTTAGACCGCTACATTTGCCTGATAGTAGCGACCCATATGTGTCGCTGGAGACGCGAATAGCACTGTCCCTACTTCCTATGTAAAATCTTCTTCCAGTTTAGCACTATTCGAACAGATCTGAGCCACTAATTGATGCCTAACTATAAGCCGAGCATTTTCTCATATGTGCTTTATTATTTACATGGTCTGTAGCCTCCTGTACCGATTTGTAGCACCAACGTCAAGACCGGGATTGGTTCCTCTGCTACCATTCGAGGCAAATGGTGGTTCCCTTGATATCAGAGTTTGAGAACCCCTGGGCTATGGCATCCTTCATTATGCCTCGACTATGTCTTCTTAGTCGTGGTTTGGCGTACCATTGGGAAACTTTGTCCGCCTCTCTTCCTGCAGGTTGGAACTCTGAGGTACTGCGGGACCATCCACTTTGCAAGTGGCATCTGGGCGGGGGTGGAGCTGCAGGGTCCCCTCGGAAAGAATGACGGGTCCCTTGGCGGAGTCTCCTATTTCCACTGTCCAATGAACCATGGTGAGTTAATGTCGAGGGTTATCGAGGGTGGAACAAGGTCTTCCGGGATGGTATTGGTGCTCACCCAAGCTCCGTCAGAACCTGTTTCCGACCTTCTTTTCGTAGGTTTGTAATCTGGCCACCAGGTGGCACGGGTCACTGCCTAATAATGCACGATACAATGTGCATCATACACGAAAAGGGAATTAAAGTTATCATGTCATTATGGAATCTAAAGGGCTTGGCCACCCAAGAAGGTCACGCAAAGAGGCCAACTTCCTCGGTGCTATAGAATCCAATGAGAACAGTGAAACAAAAACATTTTTAAGAGGTATAGAGCTCACCAAAATAAGATTAAAGGCATGGTGGCTAAAATCAAGAAACAAAGAGGGGTTGAATCGGATTAAATTGGCTTAAACATTATTTAATCTGGAGCTAAAAGTACCATTTGGCTAGGTGGGGCGAGTCATTGCTCGATTAAAAAAAAACAACAGTCGCCATCTGACAATCTATTCGTCGCACCCTTGTCGCCACTGTGGGCGACAAGGGTGCGACGCGAGACTGGAAGTTGCGAAATTGCGAGGTCGAAACTGGGGTGTGGCGGCCGCAAGAGATGTGCACTTCTCATTACACTCCTCCTGGAGTGTAACCTTTGGCAAGGATTTTTAGTAGAGGTGTTATGCACAACTATGTTTTAGCTGTCATGGCACGAAATGAGTATCAAGTTAATCTGCAACAGTCGCGCTGGGCGATTTCGAAGACACCGGACAGTTTGATAAAGACGACGCCGGCCACTTTGGAAGATGACCAGAAGGACATAAATAGTCACCCATGTTCAAGGGGCCAAGCTGGCCTTGAAACGTTGGGTTTTAAAATTTTTGATAATTAGAGTTTTTTCTGTTCTATTTTAATATTTCCTAACCAGGTAGATGTCTACCAAAAGGCTCACTTTTAAGTTCATCCATGCAAGATCACTGCAAAACAACAGAGAGTACATTCTGCATTGCCACTACAGGTGTAGCGAACCTGCCAACGTTCAAGTTGGACTGAATTAGACTTTTGCGAACTTCTAATGCGAAGTTCAACAAAAGTTTGATTGATGTTCGACTTTTGTTCGCATGTGTGAAAATGAGAAACGAGCTGACGTATCCTGGCAAAAGAAAAGTTCAATATTTTTACAGCGGAGCTGTTAAGGGCTAGTTTCCCCAGTTTCGTGTCCGTGGACAAATAAATCTCGACACAAAACTCTGAACAGCTACCGCCATCTATAAGCGACGGCGGCAACCACACAACTGGCTTGCCGGTTGTCTGGTTGCCACTGTCGCTTATAGATGGTGGCAACCTTTCAAGGGGCCTTTTTCCACTCTGGTTTTCACCAGAGTGGAAAGGCTGAATTTCTCTAGGCGCTGTTCTAGAAGTCGTCCTCGAGGACGATGCCTACAGGATGACGTCCTCTAGGCGTCATTCTTAAGGTCGTCCTAGAAATTGTCCTTGAGGTCGTCCTAGTCGTCGTCCTTGAGGTTGTCTTAGACGTCGTTCTTGAGGTCGTCCGAGCGGTTGTCCTTGAGGTCGTCCTAGAATTCATCCTTGAGGTCGTCCTAGACGTCGTTCTCGAGGTTGTCCTAGAAGTTGTCCTTGAGGTCGTCCTTGAAGTCCTTGAGGTCATCCTAGACGTCGTCCCTGAGGTTGTCTTAGGCGTCGTCCTTGAGGTCGTCCCTGTGGTCGTCCTCGAGGTCGTCCTAGAAGTCCCCTTTAGGTTGTCTTAGACGTCGTCCTTGAGATCGTCCCAGATGTCGTCCTCTAGGCGTTGTCCTTGAGGTCGTCCCACCATAGTGCAGCTCCGCTGGTCTTCCTTCTTCACCAAAGTGGAAAAGCTGAAAGATTATTTTTTTTTTAGATTAACAAACTAGCTAAAGCATTAAAGCAATACATATATTTGCTTTTATATTGTATAAGCACTATTAATGACTTTATTAAATGTAAAATAACAGCTTTATGCATTATTTGTTTCCTGAAACCGCAAATTCTTGCGTTAAAGTCGGGCAATACTGTCCGTGAGTCAAACTTCGTCAAACTTTGCTAAAAGTTCGAAGGTTCGCCGAACCAGTCTAACTGTTATATTCAACAATGAGCCTCGGGTTCGAAAAAAGTTTGCGATACACCTAGTTACCACTGCCCTTGTTTAGTATTGGTAGCAATTACAGCAGGCTTGTGATAATTCAAACTCGGATATTTCATACTTCTGGTTAATCCAAACAAATTTCAAACTTTTTGGTTGTCCCGCTTAATTAAGCGGCTCATAAGCCGCTTAATTCGAATGGTGTTTCCATGTATTTCATAGTTTTTGCTCTCGTGGCCCCGTTGAGTGCGCTTCTTTCCGAGCACCGGTACACTGCAGAGAGGCAGCACCCGCAGAGCTTGCCTCCGCGAGTGTTGCTTCTCGGCAGTACACCACGCGGAAATTTTCATGGCAACTTGCGCAGATGCTGTGGCGTGGCGGCATGGCATAGGTAGAGAAATAATCAAATATCTGCTCTGTATGTGTATCGATTCATATAGCAAATCATAATTTTATCTTGCATCATATTTAGATAAATTCCTGATAATTCAAACTTCTGTTAATTCAAACAAAGTTTGTGGTTTCCTGGAGTTAATGAGAGTCGGCTATACTATGTGCATGTGAGCTGCTGTTGCAAGTATCAACTGCTGCGTGGGCCATCCATAAAGAGGTTGCAAATTGTTGTTAGACATACTGAAAAAAAAAAAAAAAAATTGTTTGAACATATAAAATTTTTGTTATGATATTTTTGAAGTTAACAAAGAGTACCATGAAATGCAGGCCTGCTGTGTCGGCCATGGCGGTTCCCGTATCATGAGAGCTTGTGACAGGTGCTTGCATGTTTATCACTCATTTCTGTATGAAATTGTGCTGCCTCATCCTGAGAGGTCACCCTCTCATAATATTCGCATATATTTTCCCATTTCTGTCTTCACCAGGGAGGGACATCTATGTATTTGGGGTTTTACGGTAGCTTGTGGCAGCAGGTCACTGAAACCAAGATCAAAATGCATCGAGCAATGAACAAAATGTGGTTTTTGCCAGTTGTTTACGTTTGCCCCTTTGCTTGCAGGAATATTTGCACCTCTCACCAAGATCCAAAAGTATGATGGAGGCTCACAGGCTGAAAACGTTGCCTCAACCAAGGCTCCACGACCTGCAAAGAATATCTCCTACCCAAAAGTTGATGTGTCCCATGTTTCTTCGAAAGTGCAGACTGGTAATGTGTTTCTGACGTCTTTCGTCCTGTACTAAAATTAGTCACTATTGTAGACGTGCTTTCCCAGTCTTTGACATTATTTGGAAAAGAACAACAAGAAAACATTTTTTAGTTATGGTTACGTAACATATAGTGATACACATGTTGTGCTAGCATGCTACAGGAAGCTTGCCTCCATTGAATCTAGCCATCTTCACACTCGTACAAAATGACCAAATCTTCTAATGTTTCCCCATCAAAAGGTAAAAACAGAAATACCTACAAAGAAGTTGCCAGTTGCACAGTTACCAGCATCTTTTGCCAAGATCGTCCGATCGTCAGCATCTTGAAAATGTAGACATATTACCTGCATGAATTATCCTGGGTGAATATATTAGTATGTTTCTAGTTCTAGTTTGTGCTTCCTCACACGGTCAGCACTGTACGCGATTGTGAATTCATAAGTTTGTGTGCTTGCTTACTGACTGTAAATGCGCAATGGATTTTATGCTCCGTACTATGTTTTGTTTGTTTTCTGCGCAGGTCTCGCGACCCTGAGGCAGAAGCACACGTACGACCGCAAGAATCACGAGCTGTCCATCGGCGACACAGTCCTGGTGGGGCAGAGAAAAGGAGTCGTTCGCTTCATGGGTGAAACGCAGTTTGCACCAGGTAAGTGGGCTTTTAAGCCATCTGCACCCATCGGGGTCTAAGTAGCTCGTGAGCTGTGAGCCGCCGGGCCCAAGTCTTAGGCCTAGCCTCGGGCGAAACTTTGGAGGCAAGGAAGCGAGAAAACACGCGACAGTGGTGCTGCAGGCAGGAACGCGCATGGGCACCCACGCCACTTCTCTCTGGCAGTGAGGGGTGCACAAAGGACGGGAAACGACGAGCGACAGTTATTCCGCATTGCTGCAATGATATCTCGGCAGAAACACTTGGCGACCGTGGCCTGGCACGTTTCATGCCGGTCGACCTCTCGAAGTGTAATTCAGGTCTTTGGAAGGGCGTGATACCTGAGATACTAGTTCCTGCCAGTTTCTTATGAAGTATATTCATGCTCCCTAGAAATCTAGGGGAGTAGGGGCATAACGCTTGGGAGAAATATGGTTGTAGTCACTGTTAAAATGAGAGCGGCAGAAAAGTTGTTTATTTGTCCCGCCTCCAGCGTGAGCTTCCCACCTTCTATGATGCTTCGGCATTTCGTGAGCATTGAACGTACGCACACAGAGAAAGTATGGTGGAAGGCGACAAGCATGTGATGGAGGCCGTGCACTTAAAAGAGACGCCTTGCCATTCTCATTCAGTTGGCGACTAAATGACGGCTCTGCACGACAGGTTACGTGGGTTGTAAAACTGGGCTACTGGAAGCCCTTGAACTCCTGTTGGGACTCCCCAAAGTTCCTCAAGAAGCCCACTTTTTTTTTTTTTTTTAGAGCGCAGCTCTTAGGTGCCCGTTCCCGGCTTGAGCGGCGTCGCCGTCGGCGTAACCAAGGTCACGCGGCCCCCCAAGGTCACTCCAAGGTCACGTGACCCCCAGAGGTCACGTGACCCCCCCCCCCCCCCCCCCCCCCCCCCCGAAGTCACTTGACACCCTCCGAGGTCACGTGACCACCCCCCAGGGTCACGTGACCTTCCCGATGACGTCATCGTCATCATCACTGATGACGTCATCAGTGACGTCACTGATGACCTCACTGGCATCCGCATCGTCATCGTCATCATCACTGATGACGTCATCAGTGACGTCACTGAGGACGTCACCGGCATCCGCATCATCATCATCATGGATGACGTCATCAGTAACGTCACTGATGATGTCACCGACATCCGCATCGTCATCGTCATCATCGCTGATGACGTCATCGGAGTCTCCATCGTCATCGTCCCTGATGACGTCATCAGTGACGTCACTGATGACATCATTGGCATCGTCACGTGACCCCCCAAGGTCACGTGACCCCCCCAGGTCACTTCATCCCCCGCTGAGTACCCTTCCCTCCTCCTCGTCAAGAGCTGCGCTCTAATTCGGTCTTACAGGGAGTTGTAAATGCCTTTCACTTTTTTCAATCCTTACATTTGGACGGAGTCTCAAGTTTGAGTACTTTCTAATTACATTTGAGCCGTGCATTCTTGCACGGCTATAAAGAGACGTTCCCACCTACAGTCAAACTCGGATATATCAAATTTAAAGGGGATCGTAAAATAGTTTGATATATCAATATAATTTGATATACAAAAATATGTTAAATAGCTCAAGTCGAAATTTCCTGGCATTTCTGCTAATACAGAAGCTCGCGACAAACGGGAGCTTACCAAATAGAGCATCCAGGAGCTGCTAAAAACAGTAGAGCGTAGCTGCAAACGCTGCTGCACTTACACGGCTCGTCTGGCCGGGTCCTCCACACAGCATAAGCGACAAAACAAGAAAATAATAATAAAAAAAAAAAAATAAAGAAAAAAAAAACCCGGAAAAGCAAGACTTATAAAAAAATCTCTTGATCCATGGAAAAAAAGTTAAGCAAGCAACAAAAAAGAAAGCTCACTAAATTTAAGCAACAAAAAAAAAAAAAAGGCAAAAAAAAAAAAAAAGGGCAAAGCAATGATTGCTAAAGAAAAAGGTAAACAAAGATAAGGTGTTCAAAGTGCAATTGCGCAGCTGTTGTTGTGGGCACACTCTCAACTTTTTTTTTTTTTGCTCATTTTATTTTGGGTTTAGGGAGTAGCGCAGCATCAACAGTGTTCGGGGAAAGGGCGCAGGCTACTGTTCCAACAGGGGAAGGTTCTTCCTACGCTTGGGCTTGTGCTCTCTCTCTCCCTACGCTGCTCTCCCTACGCTTGGGCACGTGCCCTTCCCCTTGCTTTTGCCATCCTCCACTTTTTTTTTTTGCAGTCCATTGTTTCTCTTTTTTCACAACTGCTGTTTAGCTGAGTATCTTCCCGCGTGTATGCTGGCCTGGCAGGCTGCCAGCCACGGACTGCCAGCCATGCAACGCAAGCAATGTTCTCCCCACCTGCACAATCAGAACGGGATGACAGGAAAAGCAATGGGCAGCCGGGCTACATTGGCTATATCAAGTGTCCCCGCCATGGGAGTTGGATGCAAAAAGACAACGCTCCTATGCTCTTGCACATGATTTTCAAGGGGATGTTTGGACAGTTTACATAAACAATAATTCAAAATACCTGAGTGTGATATAAATGGGCTCGACTGTGGTATTTAGAATACTCGTGAAGGGATGTGAGTTTCTCAACTCTTTCCCTGCAAGACTGTCAAGAGGTGGGAGGTGTTTCTTGTCCACCCCACGAGGTAGCCAAGGGCTCTGAGGTCCTTGAGATGAGTGACAGCTGTCTTCTGGTGTTGTACTGTAAGGCTCTAAACTGAGCATTTTCATTTATAAGTTGGCGTATTTAGCTACGCTCTCAGCGACTATGTTTGTTAACTTCCTAGTTGTAGCTTAGTTGCATTTTTTTCCTCAAAAATGCGTTTGTAGACAAACATGTTCTCCATTGCCTTAGCTTCACTGAGGAGTGAATGCATTTGTGTTAATGTTTCAAAATATGGTTAAAAAGCTTGCTCAGACTTAACACAACAAAGATATAACAAAAAGATGGGCGTTCCGGCACCTACTGTACAGGTGGCATCTTCAGTGAGAACTGACACGAATGAGGCAAGAACCCGCCAACCACTGCTCATCATGGTGTACTTGTAGACATCTGGCATCCGGTTGGAGGCAGTGGTCGGTGTTGCACGTGGAACAGTCTTGCCGGACGAACCACGATTTTAGCAGCTTTCTTGGGCCTAAGCACTGATCTCTTCCCAAGGTCGTCGTATTGTTGAGATAAAGGGTGTGTCCACTTGTCTAGCACTGCTCAACGAGCTTTGTCTTCATGCGCATAGCGTGGGTGGCTTTTGCCCTGTCTCTTCTATCTTCCTTAAGGGCCCGTTCACGATCTTGCGACTCCTTAGAACCGAGTGCCTTGAAACCTCTTAAAATTTCTTAGAACGAGAGACACACTGGCAAGCTGGCGCCATCTATGCGGTGACCCTGGAACTGCATTTCACAAGAGTGAAGGTTTTGCGGGATTTCCGAGGTCAAATGTGGGCAATACCTATGAGAAAGGCTCGTTTATAAAGTTAACAAAAGTTTTTCGACCCAAGAAAGAAAGGATGATGCGCGAGAGAATTAAAAAATATGCAGAACCGCCAAGTTTCCACTGCTACCTAATAGATGGTGCCAGTGCGTCCTCTCGTTATAAGAGATTTTAAGAGGTTCTGAGGCACTTGGTTTTAAGAAGTCGCAAGTGTCTGAACGGGCTTGAAATCTGGTGACCCTCCCTCTGCCAGTTTGACCAATGCATGTCGCATCGCAATCAATGCACTTCGATTTATACTCTACTCCACTTTAAATCTCTGCAGGAGTGTGTGTGCTCCTTGGGCTTCACGAAAGCCTTTGACAAGGTGCAATGTGGGTTAACAGCTCTCTGCACTCTTAACGGATGTAGGGCTTTTTGATTTGCGTCTGACATGCCCTGCACGCATGAATTGACACAATAGATCTCCTTCTTTCTCCTGACTCACTTCCCGGGTATCGTCAATAAAAAACCTGGGATAGTGACACTTCTCCAAGCTGCTAACCACATTTGTAACCTCCTGCAATCGCAGTTGTTCGTTTGGTGACACTCGGGGTTCTCCCCGGGAATTTCTGAGAGGTGGACATTACCGGGAGGGGGGGGGGGGGGTGCATTTTTTTTTTTTTTTGGTTTGTCGCGTTTGTTTTTGTTGGCGGCACGCCGCTGAGAGAGAAAGAAAAAGAAAAACAAACGCACCGAGCGCCCGCGTTTTTTGTTTGAAGCAGTGGCGGCAGTTAGCGATGCGATAGCGAAGAATAACGTGGTGGTGCGCGGACCTGCTGAGTATGACAGCAATGGTCTGGAGCCATGTGCGTAGGCAAAATCGCATTGCCATTCCGCGGCAAAAAAAAAACGAGCAGTGGGCGGTCAGTTGGAGCAGTGGGCGGCCAGTTGGAACAGTGGGCGGCCAGTCGGAGCGGTGGGCGGCAAAGCCACTGCCGCCCACCGTGGGGAGAACCCTGGTGACACTGTATTGCAACGTGATAAAAAGTTTGCACTACAGTCCGTTTGTGCTCGATCGGGTGGCGCGAGTTAAAGGACAAAAAAAGATTGCCTATGTCACGCGACTTGCTATACAGTGCCGTTCCTACGCTGCCATTATATCCCCGGTGCACAAGTATACATCCAAAAGAGGTGAACCACCATCTTTCTCTGTCTTGTGAGTGATTGAACGATCTAGAATCAGACAGCTCCAGTGTTACCCTTCCTTCTGACAAGAGCGAGGGAACGGTGCTATTGGATTGGAAAGAGTATGACGAGAAAATGTCCAAGAAAGCTGCTGGAATCGTGGTTCATCTGGCGTGACTCTTCTGTGTGCAACGACAACCGTGGCCACCTACGAAATGTTTACAAGGACGTTTACAATAAGTAATGGCTGGCAGGCTCTTGCATCGTTCATGTCAGTTCTCACCAGTGTTGGAATGCGTTACAAGTAACGACGTTACTGGTAACGCGCTATCTTCTTGTCTGACACTCATTAGAATCCTAAATGACAAACGAGTGAAGTAATGTTATTTTACGGTATCTCCTATGAAATGATGTTACCCGTTACTAGTTACTTTTGATTAAAAATGGCCACATGATTGTTTGAAAACAAAATAATTTTTATTTTGTGCACTACGTAAAAGTGGCAAAGAAACCTCAACGAAGCTGTGTATAAACGGCATCATTTAAAAACTCTTTTGGAAGACACTTTTAGTATTCTCATGGCCGAATTCAAAAGGTATGAGATTATCGCTGCGCAGAACCCCTAAGCATCCTTGGTGCAGTCTGTGTATAGAAGCTGCCAAGATCACCATCGCCGTATCCTGAAGGAGCAGTAGTCTCTCTGGAAAGAGGCATCCGTTCAGAAGTCAACAGTCGGCCGCCGCTCGAAGGCTTTTGCGTCAGCGTCCCTGGCTACTCCAGCTGGTCACATCATTTTTTTTAAACAAATAAATTCTTGTTCTATCAACAACAGAAAGGATAAACTCAAAGTTTGGAAGCGTTGACGTTCCCACGCTTTGAACTAAAACAAGCGTGCAGGCGGAGGCCGGGTGCGACGTGCCGTTAATTGGAAATGCGACTTTGGTTTGTAAAGGAATAAAATAACATTCATTTTACAGGATTATCTTCGATTACATGAAGAGGTCCATTTTGCGTTTGTTAGATAGTGTGCATCTGGTCATTCTTTTCAGAGCAATTTATTCTTCCCAGGCAGGTGCTATAAACAAGGTTTGGTTCTCCGAATCGTGCTCGCAAAGCGTCACTCTCACGTGTTCGAGGATATACATTGCACACCCCGCCGACAGTGAATCTTTTATTAACCCGATCAATGCTATGTGAATTTCTTTGTTAGTATTTTTGGCGTTATTGAAATTTTGATATTTTATTATTGTGTGTTGTTTTAAATTGTTTATTTATATTGTTGGTTGCTGGCTTGGGTTGTTTGTGTGAGTTTCCAATGTATAAATGTGATCTTTACCCCACTCTGCTGTAATGCTCCGGTGCTGCGGGGTACAAATAAATAAATTATTCACTCTGAACAAGTGTTTTCTTTCCAAAGTTTATAAGGCGGTTGATTATAAACAGCTGTCGTATATTAGCGGTGAAACACAAAGTAACGACAAACTAACGTAAAAGTAACATCTGTTAGTCATGGCAAGTAACGACACCGGTATTTCGTTACATTTGCAAAATGGTAACGGTGCTTTGTAATGCGTTACCTTTTCACTAAGCTAACGAGTAATGCTATTTTGTTACTTATTTTCGGTAACGGGCACAACACTGGTTCTCACTGAAGATGCCACCGGCATAGGTGGCAAAATGTCTGTCTTTTTGTCATATTTTTGTTGTGTTAAGTCAGAGTAAATGTTTTAACCATGAATTCTCCCGGCTTTTTGGAACATTTTTGCTTCGTATTTCCAACTGAAACTGTACTGAACCATTGTGCATCCCACAGTTGGAAATGGACTTTAATGGTCGGCCATCATGGCACCCATGAACCTGGATGTTATGCAGTACTTTACAAATCGTCGTGACAAGTTACTCTGGGAGCAACTGTATCATAATCACTTTGGAAGAGTAACTTTTCCAGCTCTGTATTATATACCACTAAACTGGTAGTTCAACCACTGTGTTGCATTCTGTCTTGTGCCAGGCTGTTGGTGTGGCATTGAGCTGTTCAAGCCAGACGGCAAGAACAACGGGTCTGTGAAGGGCGTGAGCTACTTCACCTGCCCCCCGAACCACGGGGTGTTCGCGCTCCCTTCCAAGGTCAAATGGTGAGTACTACTTCTTCGGTGTCTGACTGCAGCCATCACCCCTTTCTTTTTGTTTTATCTAATTTGCACGTGAGCCCTGACTTTCTACTTCTTGTCGTGGGATATTACATTAGACTTGTTTTTTTATCCAGATTTGTTCCTCATATCAGTACCATCTTTCTGGTGGTATTGTGCTAATTAGAATTATTCACTTGCTAATGCATTATAGTCTTATGTGAATTGTGGATTTTGAGTTTGAAGCGAATAGTGGTTCTGGCCGAATATTTTCTAATCCAATATTGAATAGTTTTGTCCGAGTCTTCCACTACTGTGCATCATTCTTAAACGAAAATTAAGCTGAACTTGTGAACATTTTTAAACTTCGACTTGTCCACTTCTAAGCTTAGGTATTTTTAATATAACTATAATTAAAGGGACCATGAAATGATTTTAAAATCGAATTTCATCCACCGCACGTCGTAAAAGGTGTGAAAAGAAACACAAAAACACAAAAATAGGGAGCCAAAAAAAATTATTTGCTATAGAACTTTTAAAAGAAAACTGGACTCTTTTGCGCCTTCCTTCCTTCGCCTGTTCACTACGATGCATCCGCGGAAATGGAGCACGTCAGCCAAATCCAGGTCGCCTATTGGGTAAGAGCCTACCTCACCAGCACCGCGATCGTAAACAATAAATAGCCGGCGAATGTTTCCTAAAAGTTTTGTTAAATAATATTCAGATCCACATTTTGTAGCATAATTAGAGATGTGTGGCGAAAATTGCCAAATTTGATAATACTGAGAGCCAAGCGCCATCTATCGTGTGGTAAACGAAGCAACCACTGCGCGTGCGCAGTAGGGCAGGGCCGAGTTCAGAACGGTGATTTCCTTTGGTTTCCTTCCTCTCAGAACTCTGACTGACTGAACGTTTATTTTTCTACGTCTTCATCTCGCGCGTGCCGACTTTAAGCAGCAAGAAAAAAATGTACTTAAAACAGACCACGACGAACAAGAACGCTGGATCCACAAACACCCGAGAAGAGCGACAACAGCCGCGAATCCCGCTCCTACGAAGCTCTCAGGATATATAGGCCTAGCAGGCACTCCGACTCGGCGCAGCGTTGCTTCGTCGCAAGACCGTCTGTCTGCCTACGACCGGCTGGCGTGCTGAATGGAATATGCCCGCGCTACCCTTGTGGACCCTTCCCGTATTATAGTTTGATCGCTGACCTCAATTTTAGGTTAAGAGGTGAGGTCAATCTCTTCCCCTTGTTTTCCGAGGCAGGGTTGACGAACACTCGTCGAAAAGGGACCCTCGTCAATTCTCTTGTTTTGTGTGATATAGAGCTGAAATAAACGCTGTATGGATTACCTTCGTAACACGGTATGTACACTTTGTTATTGGTATGCCATTTTTATTCTGACAGACTGCACGTCACTGTCGAGCTGTAACAGTTCGTGGGAGGTATACGCGCAATACCGGTCCAACCTTTCTTTGCCGAGTGTCGCGTCAGTATCGAGTTGCAATCGTAAAAGATCGGTCCCGAAGCGCTTACCAACAGCGCGAATGCAGCACTTCCATCAAACGCGCGTTCCGCTCCGAGTGTGAACAGGTATTTACGTGGCTCTTGCTGACACTCGTAGTTCAAACGTATCTTTTTTAACGTCGGCTCGCTCCTGCATCTCCGAGACCTCGAAAAACGCCGCGTCAATTTGTTTCCATCTACGTCGCTTTGCAAACGACTGACACTGGCCGCCTTTTACCAACAATGACAATTTGGTTAACTTCTGGAGTCTTCACCGGAAGACTCGCTGCACTTCCCAACAGGCATAACGGCGTATGGGACTTGTCCCATGCTGTCGCTGTAGCGCAACGTATCTCATTGAATTTCGCTCAGCTGCAATGAGAGGCGCCGATTCAGAAAATACGTCGGTGACATTGGCGCAGTAAAACCTACCGGCACACCCCAACTCGTCGCCACTAACGCTCCCATCTCCAACTGCCGAGAGAACTTCCGGTTCCGGAAGCAGCGTACGTCACGGCTTGTTTTGCGGTCAAGAAAAAGTCGATATTTCATTAATTTTTTGTGTAGAAGTTAATAAACCGAGACGAAAACGGATGCCTGTTCGGCATTCAGTGAACATTGACGGTTTAATGTAAAAGTTATCTGGAAAAAGTAAAAAAGTCATTTCATGGTCCCTTTAATAACTGTGAGACATAAAACAATGAAATTATCACCTACTGTAAATGACTAAATTTTTGTGGGGACCTAATTTTCGCGAATCGCCTACAATTCGCGAAAAATGCGTCCCACGAACAATTCGGGCAATATGTGAACGCTACGGAAGCTTCGCTCGATTTGCGAAAATTAGAACCCGCAAATAATTTCAAATTTTCAGCTTTGGTCCGATTCGCGAAAATTTCAGCCCGCGAAAATCAAGTCGTTAACACTATTCTAATCGAGGGGATTTATAACTCTGCTTGCTCTGTGCAAATATTCTTTCTTCAATCTCAAATTTGATAAAAAGCAAACACAATAAAACAAGCATGAATGATGAGCGTGGGTTGTCAAGACATAGCTTTCTAACACCTACTCTTGCATAATTGCAGCAGTTTAGCCCCATTCAATGCACCTCTCACCGAACACCTGTGGCCTGCGTGGGGAAGAAATACCCGCATAGCCCGCAACCTCCCTGGGTATTGCTTCCCTGCTGTGCACTTGTGCTCGGCTAGAAGAGTGCTCAACGGGACTAACACTTAAAAAAGTATGAGTATCGCAGGTCATCTCGAAGCAAATATTGAATAGCGTATTATTCGAGACTACTAATGTCGCGACCGTTTATAACAGAGTTGGTTATAACGAAATAGTGGCTATAGCGATGCGATTATGATTTCCCATTTCCATTTGCGCTTTTTCAGTGTATTCGTGTCTGTTTTTAGCGAAGGAAAATGAGCGGCTCCCATGGATATAGCAGAGAGAAATTGTCTGATAATTTAGCAAATATTCAAATTCGGAAAATTTACCAAGTCTCAGATGTGACTTGCAAAGGCCGCCAATGGCAGCTTCTGCACCGTCCCCCGCTCCTTATCTGGGAAGCATTTGTTCTGCATCTCACGTGGGAAAGATGTTGTTTTGTGCCGATAGGGGCGTTCGGAGGGCTAGCAACGACATGCCGATACGTAACGACAGAGATGACGGAGAGAGCCTAGATTTAAGAGAGGGAGCAATTCCAACCAGGGAGAGCATTTGCAATTTTTTTATGGCGGACGCCTCCTGGGCAGATTGGTGCAAGTGCGCCTGCATTTGGTTGTCTCGTGACCAGCAAGCCCAGGAAACCGGACGGAGGGGTGGACACACTTGCAGACGGGGAACGCTTTTGACTCCTCGCAAGCTGCAGCTTGTTTTTGCAAACACGGCCCTGAAACCGTATGACTCCGATCGAGCAGTTGGCCCCTCTCTTAAATCTAGGTTTTCTATACCAACGAAACACAAACTTGAGTGCGAACTCGGTGCCATGTGTTCTTAGTTTGCTTTGTGTTCCGTGTCGGCGTCACTACGTGTAGACCGCATATAACTTATGTCGCGGGAGTCGCGAAAATCCGCACTATAAGCGGTAACGCGCTATAACCAAACATCAATTTTTCAGGCCAAAATACATGCCATGAGACAACTTACCTTTGTAAAACAATTTATTTTATGTTAGATGAAAAATAAAGCTTAGTTTGAGGAAAGTCTTTATTTCAACAGACTAGTACACGTCTCTCTCAAGTGTGTCATGCATTTTGAAAGAAATGAGCGACTTTTCCCTGGCGCAGCCTTTTAACGGCATCGCGGGTTGCGGACGGACGTTGCGAGCATTCAGGATTGCTAACCCTAATCACTTTCCTCCGACGATGAAAACGCGTGAAAATTCGCATCCTTTATACGGTCGGTACGCACCAGTAATACCTTCAACTTGAGCACAGGCCTGAAATGCTCCAAATAAGAAATCCGGGCGATGTTAGAAAACACAAATGCTTAGAAAGCACCACTGTAGTCGAAGTAAACAAACACGACGACACGGGCGTTTCTGCCGTCTTGAGAGTGCCGCCACAACATCGCCGCACGAATAGGTGGATCTTCCTTTCTAGTACCCGCTGGGTTATCATAGCGACACACAACGAAAATTCACAATCAAGGATTGCGCTTTTACGCAGAACGATGAGCTTCTACCAAAACCGACGCCATGTTTGCAGATAGAAGCAGCCGGCCCGCGACCGGCATGCAATGCGCGCAAACACTTCTCCTCGACCTGTGATTGGTCTGTCGTTGCGGTTGTTTCCAATGCAGCGGAGATATGCACGCACGTGAACGACACGTGCGTGCGTCCCTCCGTCATTATGGCAACTGAAGCCTCTCTCTTCGCTTCTACCCGTTTCTTCGAGCAACCTCCTTGCCCCGCGAGTGCCGTTTGCGGCTCGCGCCGTTATCTAGTGTCGCACAGGGAAGCGTGCTCGCTGCGTCGGCGCGGTCGGCGGGCTGTTGCAGAAACCGCACTATAACCGGTATTTCCCTTCGCGCGCCTGCATTTTAAGCGGTATGTAATTACATGGAGTTCTATGGGAGGCGAACCAGTGGTTTAAAAAAGCCGCGTTATACCCGGTCCTGCACTATAAGCGGTAAGGTTGTAAGTGGTCTATACTATAAGCGGTACCGCACTATAACCAAAACATTAATTTTTCAGGGAAAAATACATGCCATGACACAACTTACCTTTGTAAAAGAACTTATTTTATGCTACAGTGGACTCCTCTTAAACGGAACTCGAAGGGACAGAAAAATTTGTTCCGTTTATCAGAAGTTTCATTAAAGCAAAGCACATAAAATGAGTGAAATATGACTTTATTTCACAAGCATGATGTCCAGCTAATGTAGCTGACTAGAAAAAAGAGGTAATGGTAGTTTGTTTTGCATTTTGTAATCGCTTTTTGACGAAGTAGGTGTGCATGCCTTGGAGGTACAAAGGTTTCTGTTGACTGCTGCACCTTCCCCAGAAATAGTCTTAAAGACTAGGCCGTGGCGCTTTTTAAAACGGCTGAGCCAACCGTCGCTCATTTTGAAGTTATCTATTCCCAACTGAGACGCAATCTCTCCAGCCTTCGAGGATGGGGCCGCTGATCGGGAAATTAGCACTTCGCGCGCGCTTAAACCAGAGAAAAAGGACGTTCTCTATTTCCTCAAAAGGCGTCTTTCGCATCCTCCTTCGGTCGGTGGCAAAGCTTCCGCGCTTTACAGCGTCTTGAATCTTTTCTTTGTCCTTTGATATCCTTGAGAGTGTAGACTTCGGGATATCGAACTTCCTTGCGATCTCCGTCTTCGAGAGGTCACCACGATCCAGCTCTTGAAGGATCTTCATTTTCGTAGCAAGCGAGATCGCTTGGTGCGGCCGCTTTTTTACCGCTTCCATCACAACACGGCAAGCGGATGCTGGTTTGTGTACTCGATGGTAAACGTGACGCGCAACAGACGAGGCGCTAACCCTAATGGCGGTAGAAAGACTGGATTGGATTGCCTTAATATAATGGCTTGGATGGATGGATGAATGGCTGTACCGTACCCCCCGCAGAGCCATATACGGCTCTGACCCCCCGTACCCTTTGTAACGAGCGGCACCTCGCGTCACCTAGCCTAACAACTTTTTTTTTTTTATAATAATATTTGTATAAATTTTGTTTTAACACAACCCCTTTTCCTTTAAAGTGTCCTCAGTCTTGGCTATTGCGTACTCCATGGTTGTGAGACTGCTGTAGCTATTTCCGATGTCCGCGGTCGCCATGGGTAGTTTCGGTTTCGGTCCCGTTTAACCGAAGTAAGCAAAAAGGGGGGTTCCGATTACCCGAAGTATTTATCATTAAATACATAGGAAACCAACCGAAACAACCTTTAGAGTTCCGTTTATCCGAATTTTCCGTTTAAGCGAGTTTCGTTTAATGGGAGTCCACTGTAGATGAAAAATAAAGCTTAGTCTGAGGAAAGTTCTTATTTTACCAGACTAGTACACTTCTCTCTCAAGTGTGTTGCACATTTTGAAAGAAATGAGTGACCTTTGCCTGGCGCAGCCTTTTAACGGCGTTGCGGACGACCTGATCTTTGACAACGTTAAGGCATTTGAACACCTCATCACTGAAGGAGTTCAGGCTGCTTCAGACATCTGCAGCGAGCGTGTTATCTACGATTGCGTCCGTTGCAGCCGGAACGACCGCTCTGCGCCACGCCTACACACACCTGCAACTGCAACAAGCGCAGCGGGTCGTCAGCACGGCAACCGCTTCTACACCGCCGTCAGCTGTTTCAGCGCTGCCTTTAAAAAGGGGACACACTGCCACTCAATGCCGTAACAGAATATAGAAAGACAGTTTTCTATAGCCTAAAGCTTTATTATTATTATTTTTTTTTCATGATAGGCTTGCAGGGTGCAGTGGATGAAAAAAAAAGAAAAAAAAAAAAGATGCAGTACGCCGTTTTGGACGATCACGACTCTAATACACGACTTTGCCAATAGTACAAATCTCGCTACACGCCTTTTCTACGATTATAAAAGACTATGTAGTCTTAACAGCGATATAGCAACGTAGAAATATGATTTCGTGATCAGATAGACGTTGCGAGTGTTCAGGATTGCTAACACTAGTGCACTTTTCTCCGGTGATGAAAACGCCTGAAAATTTGCATCCTTTATACGGCACGCGCCAGTAATACCTTGAACTTGAGCACACGCATGAAATGCTCCAAATAAGAAATCCGGGCGACGTTTGAGGACGCAAATGCTTAGAAAGCACCACTATAGTCGAAGTGAACAAACACGGCGACACGGGCGTTTCTGCTGTCTTGAGAGTGCCGCCACGACATCGCCACACGAGTAGGTGGATCTTCCCTTCTAGTAAGTGCTGGGTTATCTCAGCTCAGCGATGCACGACAAAAATTCAGTCAAGGATAGCGCTTTTACGCAGAACGATGAGCTTCCACCATGCCGTCCACGTCGACGGTCACCACCAACGCCATGTTCGCAGATAGAAGAAGCCGGCCCGCGACCGGCATGCAACACACGCGACCAGTTCTCCTCAACTTGTGATTGGTCTGTCGTTGCAGTTGTTTTGGCAACTGACGGTTGCAGACTTTTGCAATGGTCGTTTCAATTGTTCCAGTTGTTGCGGTCGCTATGGACGCATGTGTGTGAACAGGCCGTCCTCTCTTTGCTTCTCCTCGTTTCTTCAAGAACCTCCTTGCCATTCTTGCCCCCGCAAGTGCCGCTTGCGGCTAGCGCTGTTATCTAGTGATCTAGTGTTGCACAGCGAAGCGTGCTTGCTATGCCGGTCGGCCGGCGGGGTCGGCGGGCTGTTCCAGAAACCGCACTATAACCGGTATTTCCCCTTGCGCACCTGCATTTTAAGCGGTATGTAATTACATGAAGTTGTATGGGAGGCGAACCGGTGGTTGAAAAAAGCCGCATTATACCTGGTCCTGCGCTATAAGTGGTTACGTTGTAAGTGGTCTATACTGTAGTTGGTGTGGTCACTCTGTGCGGAAGTCTAGCTTCGCTCAAAAACCAATTTGGCAACTCATCGCCACTCAACAATGGCGAGTCCTAGCTTTGCCGGCACCTTGACGGGGAAGGTGAAGGGAATCACCTCGAACTAAAAGCGTTACGCCATCCTTGATGAACTGTGCACGAACATAAAGAATGCTGTCCATCGCCGGCATCCTCTGCGGCAGCCGTCACAGCTGTCGACACGGTCCGTACATTGCTCACAAGATTTTCTTTCGATCGGAGCTTCCCGCAGTTGGGGAGAAGCAGCTCCGATCTTGCAAAGAAGCCTCGACCGCTTTTTGCAGCTATGATAAACATGTGCCTGCAGCCTCCAAAAATAGAGAGGTCAAGGAGCTGCTCATTCCATGGACCAAAATGGCAACCGCAGGGGTAGTTGTCACTACTTTTCTAGGATCCAGTGACTAGTTCTTAGACGGAACTCTCGCTGTTAGTGAGGTGCCTGGAATGTGTCTTCGACTGGTGCGTTTACCGAGCAGACAAGAGACAATGCACTCTATTGTTTGCTTGCTGCGGCTATCGGGTGATGGCACAAGAATTTACCTTTATTGCACACCCTGTGAACATGTATGCTGTTTGTTGTTGAAGTCTGTTGGTCTCACTTTAAAGTGATTGCTTGTTGGGTGACGCTTTGCAGGGATTGTGATGTTGGCGCTTGTTGTCTGTCGTCGCAGCGGAGATGGAAACACCTTTCTTCTTTTCCCTCGTCGCTTGAGGAGAGAGAAGTCAGGTGTTCTCACTGTTCATGTTGCTTTTATGGAATCCTGATATAACAAAGAAGCAAATATAGCGAAGTGATCGTTGATTCTTTTCAACTCCGTTATAACTGGTCTTGACAGTGTTTAAAAATTTGAATCTTCCAACAACACTAATGCATTACTTAGAAACTGGCAGGCAATTTTGTGACCTTGTACTCTGGACTTCTTGACATGTTCTCCAGGTTGCCTAGCGGGGCTGAAGAAGAGACATCGGATCTGGATTCGCTGGTCGACCTGAACACGTCCTTGAGCAGGAGCTCTACAGGTGCTTTATTTGAAATGTTCAACGCTACTCTTGTGTAATGCTTTCATCCCCATACCTGTATGCTGTCATGCCCAAACCTATATGCCAACTGAAAGAAGCCTATGTTAGACAAAAGCACTGGCATAAGGGTAAAGGCTGATCTCGTTCTAGATGGCGATTCCGGTGGAAGCCCGGCCTCTCAGCGATCGGCCGAGAAGAAAAAGTAAGCTGCCTTGCTTCCGCTGTCGGCACTAGAGCGCTTAATTTGTACCACCTAACTCTGTGCATTTATTCTTTGCTTTGCGGCTGTTCAATGCTTGCTCGTTCTCTTTTTTTTTGTTATTGCCAATTCGGGAACAGTCCCAGGTCGCAGCATGCGAAAACAATTCAGACGACCCTCAAGAAAGGCTGTTGGCTCACAGTGGGGATGAATGTGTTTGTCTCCAATGAGCTTGGTAAGCTGCCGTGCATCTGCTCCACACTCTCGTGCATTGTAAAACAGAGAAGATTCTCAGGTCGAGGTTTAAGTACTCTAATATTACTGCCTTAACTTGACCTACATATTCAGTTATAAGCGACCATTTTCAGTCAAGAATGAGCAGGGTGGAAATGTGTGCGCTATGTGAGCTAGAAACAGCGACCAGGCCTTCATGGTTATAAGCCAAACTGTATGGTTTAAATTAATAGATTTGTTTAGTCTGTCCTCACATATTCCACATTATGAACTAAAAGGTTGCTTATGTGAATTCAGCTCTTTCATGTTGTAAGGACCTACCAAGACTCTAGACCTAGCTATAAAAAGATAATTATGTCCTTGTTCTAAATCTCTAATAAAATATTTTAGATGACCAGGAAACTTAGCAGTCTTGAAGGGCAGTACTTAGGCAGCGTATTTGACGCATTAGTCGAGCAGGCCTGTCCTTGAGTTGTTGGAACATGGCCTGGTTGTCATGTGACATGGTTGATGTGATGTTGCTTCAGTTAACAGCTGAGCTATACGCATGGTCTCTCCTCTTTATCGCAATGTAAAGTCTTTGTTGATATGGATGCAAGGAAGTCGAGTGATTCAGTGGCTGTTGCGTGCAATGCATGCGTGCCTTGCCAGACTAAATATTGTAACGCTAATGATAAGAGAAAATGGATCTCTCCGATGAGATCTTCCTGTTACGTTGCGCTTCTAAATGCTGAAATAAGTGGGTTGTTACTAACAGCACTCAGCATCATGCCTGACACTGCATCGAACTAGTGACTGGTTTACAACCGGCCGCTGTAATTGTTAACTGCTTGCAACATGTTTACAGCCCAGGTGAATTTTGAGAGACCAACAAACGATTTTTAGACTGGTTAAACCATGCCTAAATCAAAAGAAAAAAAAAAAAAAATTTTGATGCATAGTTTTTTTTAGTAAACAGGATAACTGGGCGAGTTGGTATGGATTCATAATGGAACAGCGCAAATTTTTTAGTTTTTTTAGTTTTTCATCTTGCCTATTTTGAGCCTCACTGCACGGGTAGTGAGGCCCTGAAATGGGCCCATTTTCATTTTCGTAAACAAAAGTTGGGACTGCATATTGCAAACCTTAATGTGGTTATCAGGCTACACAGATGATGTGCCCAGAAAACTGACGTCAAATTTGCTTTTGCTTCCTTTAAGTTTGCTATTAGATAGCTCTCGATGTAACTCATTTGATCACAACTTTATAGGTGTTGTGATTGATTGCATTTTTAACTTAAGTGATCTTGTAACTGACCGTGCTTGTGGTTGTTGCTAACAGAATATTACGAACAAGATCAAGTTATGTTATCTAAAACAATTATAGTTGCAAATATATTGTCTCAAGAGCAATGCTTTGACCACGTCAATACTAAGGGACTTCGTAAAAAAAGGTTGTGTTGGACGCAGTTCTCTACCGATAGAAAGTCACTGTGCCCAAAGACGTCAAAAGCTCCGTCCTAACTGCAATGTCACTCCAATCAAGCACAGGGGGGCAGGACTCTCCGGAGCAATAAGCGCCATTTAGCCTGAAGTTTTCGACTTACCCTCGTTTGACTGTTACAATTTACCGGTACGACGCCTGGAACGCATCTCCCACTGGTGCGTCTAGTGGGTCCTCATTCGCGGTTCTAAAATTTCCACCCGACGACATCGCATCTGTGTCATGCCGTTGCCCGCCGCGATTGTGGCAGTGGCACAGTAGCAGGTGTGGATAGCACAGAAGCCCATTCTGCTGCAAGTTACAGCCTGAGAGTCCACGGACGTTCCTGCAACCAGGAGTTCGGGCACCACAGCGATGGAAACACCCGCATTCGCTCGTCTTTTTTGCCGCAACTTCTGCGACCGATTGCCAGGACAGCGACATGCAATGGCACGACACGCCAGCTCCCGCGGTGTCATTTTGGTGCCACTTTGGGACCACTTTGGATAGATGAGCGCTAAGCGCACCAGTCGGAGATACGTCCTGGGCACCGCGCTACCGGCGACAACAGCAGTGATGGGGTACCAGTCCTTACGCCGCTCCGCATTTTAGGCGTCATCAGGTACATTGGGCCAGTACACTTTGAGGAGGGCACCTGGCTCGGCGTTGAGTTGAGGAGCGCCAACGGCCGCAACGACGGGAGCGTGCAAGGGCGCCGCTACTTCACGTGCAAGCCAAACCACGGCCTCATCGTCAGGCCCAGCAAGGTCACCGTGCGAGGGATCAACAGTGCCAAGCTCTTTGAGGAGCAGCCGCATTCCTGAGTCGCCTCGCTTGTCTGCGCTGACGCCTCATGCAGGGTGAAACGCCTTGTGTAGGGTGCGACACCTTACGTAGGGTGCCACACCTTGCGTAGGGTGCAACACCTTGTGCGGGGCGCGAGCGTGGTTTATCTATGTTTATTCTGTTATGGTGAGATGTGGTATACCGGTATTTATTGCTCTTTCTTTTGTATGGACGGGACTCTAGTGCGTAAGGTAGGGAAAACAAATTCTTTGTGTTCGGCGGCAACTATTTTATGCCACGTTGTCAAGGTTAATGTAGCTTCCACAGTGCTGCAGCCCCTCGCTGCTGCGAGAGCATGTGTATGCGACTTTCTTTAGCATTTGCACGTGCTAGTGAAAGTAGCTTTGACAGCGTCTGAGTACTGTGAAAGTTATGCTAGGACAATGTAGCGTAAATAGTTGTCACAGAGTATAATGCAGGAAGCAGTGGTGTACGAAGTCGAGCAGCATTTCCTTGGTCGCTCGAGCCCTTCTGATTATGTTCCGATGCGTTCGACGTGGCCACTGCTGATGTTTGCCATAATATCAAATCTTGCGAAGAAGTAGTAACCTGAGGAATACCAGAAATTAATCTACCTAATTAAATTTCAAACGATTGATTAGGTATTAGTTCTGCTTGAAAGTACAAACAAAAAAAGTATGCAAGACAAAGGCAGACACCCACTTCCTTTTAAACTTAATATTTTAGTTGTCTATGTTTTTTTTTCCCGTTAATCGTCTTGACCATTACTTTTAAGCCTACCTTTTAAAAAAGTATTTTTTAGTACTACGAGCGGAAAACTGGAAGCCCTAGGTTTAGCTTGGCAGGCTGGTTTTGATCGGACTTGTTGATTGCTCTCAGAACGTTGTGCCCCGACCCGTTGGTTACCGCTGAAGGTTTAATGGTTCTGTAGGGGCTGCCTGCATTTTACTGTTACAGAGTATCCATGAGTGCCGTATATTTCGATGCCATCCAATCTCATTAGTTACCTCGGTTGACTCTAGGGCCATGTGCATTGCGGTGAACCATTTGTACGCAGATGTTGGATGTGAAACTTTATTTTTCTGTGGCCTGAAGAGTTCGCAATTGCCACTCGCCGGTGGGTCATTTTCACCGTCATCTTTTTCTTTATTTTCTAAGCAATGAATCTCAAGGCGATTCAGTACACACCAAGGTATTGTCTTGGCATCACGTATGGTGCTATTTTGCGTTAGTGTGCAGAAGCTTAGAGATAGACTGAATTGAATTTTAGGCTTTATTCTTGCAGTTGAAACATGTAGCAGGGTTGTCGAAGGCAACTTCTAATTCAAACAGATGATTTCGCATGGAGTGAAAAAGCTTATAGTAGCTTCTCACGGCACTGGTTGTTAGTCGTATATATATATCCATTTGTTGCCGCTGGGACCGCTTGTCTGTGCCAAGGCTGACAGATATGTCATATTTCATGCTCTAGTTTTCACGAGGTGTTCTTTTTATTCCAGAAAGTTATAGAAGAAAAGGTCAAAAAACAGTTTTTAGGAATATTGCAGAGATCTTTTTGGTGTCCCTTTAGGTATGATGGGCATACCTACCTGAATATTTAAGAATAATAGTACCCATTGTGCAGCGTCATGAAGGGTATAGCAACCAGATGCAATTTCATATTTGTCTCTCGTTGCTGCCTACTGCTGCACTTCAGCATAAAAGTCAACCAGTTACCTCATGTAAATGTGCAATGCTGTCAAACTCGAGGGATAAAAGAAAATTGGTGATACAACATGTAGGTATGCATGCAGTCGTGAGAATTATGGTTGCATTGACTGCTGCCTCTTGAATTAAACCGATCGCTTGTCAGTACACACATAACCTCCTTTATGATGTTTCTCCGAGGAATATGGAGCATTCACATTTTCCTTTGTGGAAATTTTCTTCAATCTTGTTTATAAATAAGGTTTTGTGTTTTCGGTACATACCATGAACCCTGAAAATTAACCCCCGAGTCGGTTCATCTAAGTAAAAGAAAACCAGAATAAAGAATTAGTGGTGTTGTCCTTGAACAGAAAAAAAAAATCTATGCTGCATGGAAAGAAATTTTTAAGTTACAGCTTTTTTTCATGGTGACCCAGAACAGCCCGTGCTGAAATGTCTGTGAAGCTGCTTCTTTTGTTTGGGAACCATGCCCCTTATCTTGTTTCCTTCCCTTGTTGGTAGTACTGGGACGGTCTTCAATGAACCCTTTTAGAAATTTCGAAATGATGCATAGATTATGTGAGCTTGTCATTAGTTGGCCGCGTAGTGTGAGCATGCATTGGACACGAGCACTCCGTCAGTGTTCGGAGTATACTTGGATCAAAACGCATTCTACATGAGGGCTGCATCAGTGCTCGGCACAAACTCAAAACCAATCACAGGCATCGTTGGTCTCGTCTCTTCTGGTTCACACCTGAAGAGACGAGACCAACTAATGGCGGCTGCGCATAACCTATTCATCATTTCACAATTTTGGAAAGGGTCTATTGGTATTTGGGTCACAGGGATGTGCCCGGGAGGTCAGGGAGTACAACACCCATGTCCTGTTTTCTTTAGCATAAGCCCCTATAAACACTGATTTTTTGGCCTGTAGAATAGATGGTGCCAAAAAGAACCCGATTTGTGGGAAAAAACAAACGGCGCAATATCACCCTCGAATTTGAAGAAAAATAAACCCCGAAAACATGGGATTCTATTTATAAAGCGAGCTCAACTCTCCAGGATCTCTGTAAACTGTCGATGAACTGTCTGTCAGAAGTGTCAGTGACCGACATACAGAGTAGTAATGCCACCATTACTACTACCAATGATTGTGGGATGCCTCAGCAGAGCGCTACAATGCTAGAATAGCTATGCTTACTTAGTATTTGGCATAAATAACACATTTGGTGGGTAATGATTGACTCCCTGACTTTATGCTGTTTACCAGAACAAATGACCCAACCTCTTGAAAACTAAACTTCGATGTTCCTACATGGCTAGCTCTTCTCAAACGTGTATTGTTAGGATGTCAGTTGATTGGGGTTTGAATGCTGTTTGAGTGCAGTTGCCTTGGCACTGTTGTTGGGTTTGCTGAGGTTATTAAGGGGAGTGGAAGATGTTGTGGAGGCTTGACAAATGTCAAGTCACTTTTCTTTGTGCGTATCTACACTATGGGATTAACCTTGTGCTCTTAAGATTTTGTGGCATGAATGATTTAGAAATAGCGTTTGGTGTATGCCTCAGATAATACTAATTGGTTTTGCTGCTGACCACTGCAGAAAGAGCCTTGGTTATGGCGATGATAGTGTATAATGCCCCTTTGGATTGGGGGATACCGGTGTGTAAAGTCTTGAAGGCCGATCTGCAATTCGGAAAGGAAGGAAGGTCACTTTCTCATTTCTCCAATAATTGATGACAAGTAAGCCACATTTTAAAGACTCCCCAGTGAGTCCTGGCTATGTTGATTCTATACCCATCGTGAAACGTGAGGTCCCCCATAGTTCGTACAAGGAGTTTGTGTCTTTCTGTTTGTGAACGAGAAAAGGGAAAGGGAAATATTTCTGCCTTTCTGAAGAGGCTTTTACAAAGTCCAGGTTTAACGACAACGTGGGATTTTGTTCAACCTGGTACCTTTGACCGACTTGGACAGACGTGCAATCCTTGAATGAGCTGTTGTTTGTGGAACGGGGAGAATGTATGGAATGTGTGAATGCAGAAATGGCCAACTTGGCGGATATTTTTTGGTATTTGTGTCTCATTTGCATACAACGTATTGCACCTTTTGCGCACAACCTTTAAACTATTTGTTTCTTGGCACATTTTTTGGCAGGTTTCCAACGAATTGGGTTTTTTCTATTCCTACATATCTTAATTTTGGGGGAGGGGGAGTGTATTCATCACATTAAATGCATTTTACCTCTTTTGAGAACGGAAAAAAGGTATTTGGAGAGTACAACTTTTTATATTCAGACATGGTATTGTTGTGTTTTTTGCATTGTCATTCATGTCTAATTTATTATGACCATTTTTTTTCTCCCTAAACTGTCTTATGTTTGACATTACGACGTGCTTTCTCAAGCTTTTTTGGCCGCGAGAAAGATTTCTCAAGTGTCATGGGTGGGTGACGTGCACAGAGACGCACACATTTGCTTGGTTGTATTTTTTAGTGATGAGCATTTACACTGCATTTAAATGTGTTGACCAAAGTAATCTTACACGCTCCACATTTACATATAGGCAGTTCTTGTGTGAGTGCATTTCTTTAATGCTCACTTGTATTTTGTACATTATCTTCGGAATTCTGGCAACAGTTTTTTTATGAACAGTTGATTCGTCTCTCACGCATCGGGTCGAAAAGAGTGCTCATAAAGTTGTCGAAACCCTTGTGACGACTTTATAATGATGTGCAGTCGCCCTTACAATGCTGGTTTGATCTGGAATTCAAGAGCCACAGTGGTTTTGCAATTTGTTTTGTGTCATAAGATGCATTTAGAGATTGTAGCAAATGCTTACGACCATACATGATAATGACAAGAAATAAATAATTACATTGGAGTTTCCACATTGCTGTTGGCAGTTGGGATTGACTGAATCTCCATTGGAAAGGCAAAAAGCGCTACTTGAGATGCCACAAGGTGGCACGGATCTTGCATATTCCCTATAATGGACCCTTTTTAAAAGTGTGCGCTCTCCAGTGGCTGCTGCGTCAATTATACGAGGACGCCATGTTTTGGGCATGCACTTTGAGTGTGCAGTGGACATGAGCGCTGAGGACTGCTGCGTTAGCACTTGACGTGAACTCGGGTTCAATGAGACGCGTCGTGTGCACTTTTGAAAAGGGTCTATCAGCTACATGGGGACATACTGAACAGAAGGTTAGGGTGCAAACATGCTGGTGGTAGTTGAACATAGTAAAAACACCCCAATGGGAAAAAGAGAACGGACAAACAAAGAGGTCTCAAACATTGCTGAACTTATTTGACTAAAGTTGGTGTTTAAATAGCCTTCAAGAACCCATACAAACCTGAAAGAAAGGAAGGAACGCAATAGCTCTTTCCACAGAAACAGAACCGGCAAGAGCACCGTTAGAAGATGGGAAACATACAGAGAACATATAATCTCTTCCAGAACTCCCTCCCTTTGTAAAAGTGAGAAAAAAAAAGAAGAAAAAATTAACACTAAAAGATAGGGGTGCCGAAAAACAAAGTGATCAAGCTTGAAGGGTTCTTCCTAAGTTCTGTGCCTAAACTTAGGGAATGTTTGATTACTGCATTTCCATGATTCATAATAGTCATAGACTCTTTTACTGGGAGTTTATGACAGTTTCTCTCCGTCCGTACCACCGCCGTTTTAACTGCCACAAAGGCGCACAATTCTTGCATTCCGCTACATGCTTTGACACTTAATTCCGAGTATAGATCCTTGTTCTTATACAACGTTTGTGCTGGGTGAGGCGATCGCTCAAACCGTGTTTCATTTGTCCTATCTAACAAGCCACATTCAAACCCACATCTTTTAGTGTTAAAAGCATATTTTCGTGTTTTTTTTTTGTGCTTTCCTAAACCATTTGAAATTCAAACGGGTGGCAAACTGGTCGACTCGTTTGAATCACACGGGTGGCAAACTTGTCGATTCGTTCGGATCAAATGTGATTATGGGATACGGGTACCCGTTTGATACGGCACCCATTTGATACGGTGCCCATTGGATACGGGTGCTCGTTTGATACGGGTGACTATTCGACCTGGCACGTGACCAGACATTTGAACGCGCCATTCGGATTGGCAAATTATTCGCTGGGCAGGAAAACAGACACATAATATGTCTGTTTTCGCTGGGCAGGAAAACAGACACAAAATATTGTTTTCGATTCTCCTAGAAGTTTATTACGACCTATTCCGTAAACAAGTACAAACGTGCAAGAGCTCTGTGAGGGAGGCACTCACTTGGTCGAATGACGTTTTAGCGAACGCCCACGTTTCATCGAATGACACTTTAGCGAATAGTCGGACGCCGCGAAGCGGCGTTTTCGGTCGGGCCAAATGAGTTCATATTTTTGTAATGAGTTGCCGCAGACTGTCGCCGCGAAGCGGCGTAAAGCGCAGCGCGACGGATGGGTTAACGCGCGCCCCCGTTATTCGCTAAAACGACCATTCGCTCAAAAGTCGCCGTTCGCTAAAATGTCATTCGCTCTTGTGATATGGACCCGCTCTGTGAAATGTGAAGAGGCACTCTAAGCCTTTTATACAACTGAGAAGATTGGAAAGCAACAAGAAAAACTTTAATGGTAGATTTTTGGCAAAACTTCTCAGGGCTGCCGCGAGAATCGACGCTGCATAATTCTGTCGATAATCTGGAAGAGTACGCGTAGAAGAGCGGTCAATCGTTGCAAACAAGTAGGTTGCAGTGCACTTACCATAATAATAACAAACTTGAAAGATGTAATCCGAGATAAATGTCGACGTGGTCAAAGCAGGACAACACAATCACCAAAACGAGAAGGAAGGCCTTGAAGTTTCAACACGATGCGGCGCACAAGCTGTCATTTGCCATACAAACAATATATTACAATTTATGTTGGTAGCTCCTGTCAGACTTCTATTCGCGACTCCAGCGACCTATAGGGGGCGCCACCACCAAACAAACATGGCGGCTGAGTCCAGGTCGCGCCGGCTCGGCCGGGCCGCCTGAACAGGTGGCGCGTTCAATTTAACAGATTTTCTTTTGTTTAATGCCCAATTTGATAGGTATTTGAACTGAGACGGTTAAGTGTAGCCGGTGCACATGAACTTGCAAAGCATGGTTTTGTTTTCCCGGTGTTTTTTGTTATTTTCATGTCAAACTTTCGTTTCGGAGATTTCGTCCAAAACCGAAACTATGGGCTCCGGAGAGACGGTAATACACTAATCAATTTTGATCATCTAAGGAAAGCGGCAATGACTACAGAATTCTTCCACCGAGAGTAATATTCAGCTAACTCGCATGCCTCGACCATGCGACTTCTCTGTCCGCGAAATCGAGCTTTTGTGCGTATCCGTGCTTAATAGCGAGTTCGTTTCACACGCACTGGCACCGTTCGAGTTCTCTCCCAGAATGCATCGCACTCACAGAGTGTTGCACGGAAAACTGGACTCAAACGAACTCGCCAAATGCACCGAGTGCAGAAGACTGATGCTGCCGCCATCTATGTGGTAGAAAAGGTACCGACTTCAAACCGAAACTAGCGCCTTTCTGTTCCGAGTGATGCGTGGGAATGCGAGAATGCAGTCGCTACCAACGTTTATCTACAAACGTTGGCAACTGCAACCTGTAGTTTATAGTTGCGATGTCTTCAAGCAGCTCGGCTGCCGTAGAGATAGTTACAGACGGCGTAAATTTCCGCAACCAGCTGTCCACAAAGCAACTGGTTGCGATCTTTCAATCCTTATAACCGTTTACACTGAAGAAAACTGATGATGCTGTCCGAGCAGAAGCTTGATCCGTTTGAGCATGGTATTATGCGTGAACGACTGAAAGGGTACGGCTTAAAACTAGCCTGTTGGAATATCCAGCAAAACTGGGACTTTCGATTTGGATCGTCATTGTGGATTAGATATTAGCCTTGGTGAAGGCGTCGAGAACGAGAGCTTTCTCGAACAAAATACGACGGGGCGAGTTAGCTGCGTAGGTAAATGTTAAACATGATGATGTTGCCCAATCCTCGGGTAAAGTCACCATCTTTAGCTTTCTCTGCTGCTTATTGGGCAGTCAGAGGTTTCTGCTGGGGGAGTTTTATCGAATAATGTTAAATTTTTCACCCGCACACCGGATGGTGATAGACATCTCGGGGGCCGCTGTTGCGTTTGTTCTGAGCATTTCTTTACACACTGGTATATTTCAGCGTTTGTACGGCAACAGAGCGATTTAAAACCTGCAAATAAATCACGGGTTGTCGATTGCTTCCTTCGTGAAATAGGAGACGCTCACAATTCAAGCTCGCGTTTGATTTCGTTGCCCGCGGGACGCGATTTCTATCAGAAAATCTACTTTTTTTCCTTTCGGTTCCGCGACACATCGTAGCAGACGAACCCTCGTCGTCTGCTCCCGCTCCTCGCCGGCCCCGCCGGAGCGAGGCATGACGGGATTGCATTTTGGCGCACTCCCGATTTTCTCGGTGCAGCGAGTGCATGCACGCGTGGGGTGTCAGCGCTGAAACGAACTCGGAGAGTGCAACCACTCGTGGAGCGCCGGCCGAAACGAACCCGTTCCACGCTGCGAGTGGGCACGCGTGGGCACGAGTGCCGTGAAACGAACTCGCTATAAGAAACAGCTCCAGTCGTCTGCTCGGTCAACACTGCAGGAAAATTACGAAAATTAAGCAAGCGCTTCTTGAGCCAAGAAGCATGTTAACCCGCCGACGCCCCACTAAGCAGCTGATACTCGTATTTCAATTTAGGTTTTAGTAGCAATCGAGAAATCATTTTGACGAGCGGGTTATGTATTATATTACGTACTATGTCCCACTAAAGCGATATTAGTATATTCTTCGGGTTGAAATATGAGCTTAGTTGACTAGATATTAGGTGAACTGTCGAATAAAAGTGTATTTGACAGATAGAGAGATACTACTTAAACTTAGCCAAATGGTTCTAGCCGGCAGCACGGAGACAAACTGAGGAAAGTCTTCATTGGAGTTCACTCAGAACCTCTCTGCATTGAACTTTGCTTCGAATCCTGGACGGAGAAATAAGTATTTTTTTGTGGCCGGTCAACCTGAGCAGTGCAGGCATATATTGCTGCTGGCTTCGACGGGTGTAATATAAGTATTGTAGGCGCGATAGATCAAAATGCCGTGACAGTCTCTAACGTTTCGAGACGCGTCCCCCACCTTTTGAAAACAGATAATTTACCTCATTCATCATTTGCAGCGAGCAGGTTTTCCTAAATCAAGTAATTACGAAATCAGCCCAACTCCTTCAGAGTGGTCCAGAGGCTTTTTCGGCGAAAAGCAGCCAAGATGAATAGCCAACGCACCGACCGGCGTGGGTGACTCAAACTTGAAGCTAATCAAACACAACCAAACTCAAGAAAAGCAGCTATCGAACCTTCCCATGCACTTGACTGCAACATTGGTGTTCCCTCCAGTGAAATGCCTCGTCTGTTGTCCTCAGTCCACTGTTCTACATCCTTATAAAGAAACCCCTTATCAGTTACCAAGTAGTCGTCACTTTGAATGTGATTCGAGACAGACAAGAAATCAAAACGTTTTCCCGTGATTTCTCCCCATCCAAAAAATCGAAAGCACGAGACCGTGTGTTGTGGAGTAAACGGGCTTTCAAACACGTGATGGAAGGAAGCAATCTACTGAGGCTTCACCACACTAATTATCACTCAGGCGAACTTAAGAAATTTTCGGACCTTCGTGAAATTACACTGTTCGCCACCGCGCCGACAACACGTCTCCGCGAAAGCCACCAGAGACGCGGAGGGGCGCGGAGCGACCTGGACCGGCTGGTTCCCGGTTTTCCCGCTTGGCGGCGTCCGTTTCGCTGGAGTCGCGATTATTACCTAACTGT